TCATTGGTTGGCCTTGATGTGCTGGTTTAAGTGGGGGAAGCTTCCGTGCCATGGATGATTTCAAACCATGGCATCATAGTGTATTACCAACATTCACCTTGGAAACTGTGGTCCCAGCTCCTCCTATGAGCTTTCTGGGATGATTTTTCACCTTCCTTAGGATCATTGAGACCCCACGAGATGAGATCTTGCATGGAGCCCCACTCTGAAAGAGACTGACAGTCATGTGTAGCTTCTTCCATTTTCTAAAGATTGCTCCAACAGTGGACCTTTTTTTTTCTAAGCTGCTTGGTAATTTCCCCCGTAGCTCTTTTCAGCTTTGTGGAGGTGTAACATTTTGTCTCTAGTGTCTTTGGACAGCTCTTTGGTCTTGGCCATGTTAGTAATTGGATTCTTACTGATTGTATGGAGTGGACAGGTGTCTTTATGCAGCTGATGACCTTCACCTTTAATTGACATGTCAAAGCGCAATGTCAGTACATTACCATAGTTGGTGCTATGCAGAGATGCAATGGGTGCAAAAAAAAAAAAAAAAACTCAAGTGAAAGTTTAATAATTTAAAGAAGAAAGGACCTAAGCAATATGTAAGCTTTAAAAAAGTTATTCACTTTTTTGTAAGAAGAAAGGATCCTTCTGTTCAATTTAATAAAGGATATAATGACCTTAAGCTGTACGTAATTAAAGATCTTTTATGAATGAAACTGTAGCATTTAAATAAAACACATCAGTCAGTTTGTATAGCTCTACTTCACAACATCTGTTTCCTCTGGGTGTTTTACATATATTACATTTCTGGTAGTTTTTTGTGTAGCTGTTGTTTTTAGGTTTGAAGCAGATAATTTCTTTCATCTCAGCATCCTTCTCTCATATTACGTAAACCACCTACATCCTCCTTCATTTCTGTGAAGCATCTCTGTTTTGCAGAGATGGGAAGTAACGAAGTACAAATACTTCGTTACTGTACTCAAGTAGATTTTTCTGATATTTTTACTTTACTTTACTACTTATTTTTATGGCGACTTTTTACTTCTACTCCTTACATTTTTACACAAATATCTGTACTTTCTACTCCTTACATTTTAAAAAATTGGCTCGTTACTTTAGTTTTGAATCATTTCAATGGAGTTACCGTTATTATTTTTCACGTCACTGTGAAAACGGAGCCGTTTTCCCCCCCTGTTCCCAAAGTGTAGCCGCTGTCTATCACGCACAGCGTCACATCCTTCACTACATTTCCCAGCATGCACCACAAACCGGCCATCATGGCGGCGGCAGTTCCAAACAATTCACCAGGTAATTTACACTAGTTCCGAAATTACAACGTCACCTTTCATTCAACACTTTACTTACTCACCAGCGTAGCAAACTTTGAAGGTACCCACTGCGACAGCTTTAATATACATTCCGTAGTTGGTAATAAAACTTCCCAGTCAAATTACACATTCTCTTCCCTTAGTCCGTCAGCATACTGGTTCGTGTGGAAACACGTACCGCATCGGAGCCAGTCTCTTATCCATTGTCCCAGGGCATTGAAAAATACTATTAGGGGGCAGGGGTGTTAAGTGGGATTTCAATGAATGTAATAATTGTTTGCATGGTAATAAGTAGGTGAAATGGTAATGTTAGAATGGTTAAATTATTTCATTAATATGTATGTTTTTGTATGAATGATGCTATTGTCTGTATTTATTTTTCTACAATTATTTTTTTTTAAATGAACTTTATTTAAACAAGGTGGGTACAAACAAGTTAGGCAATAAGAACATTAGAATTCTAATTCTATAGAAGGCATAGTAGAGGCAGATTTCAGAATGAAAATACAAAGTAACTTTGATGAGGAAAATAAAAAATGTGTGAGTAATGCTAATAATACAATAAAATAACATAAAGACAAGGGGATTCATATGTTAGGATTAATGTACATCAGTGGGCAGTTCCATTAGTATTTCAGTCAGGTATTTGTAAGATTCGATACATTCAAGAGATGTCAAATATAAATTAAATTCAGATAAAAAATACCAAAGATAGGGGAGGATCTCAAGACTCTCTGTTTATGAATAAAGAATTTTGCTAAACAAAAAATTAGGTTACAACGGAGTTCTATTGTTTTGTCTTTCAATAGTATTCCAAAAACTACCATATCTCTAGAAATAGAATTAGGGAGTGCAATTTTTGATTTGATCCATCTTTCTAAACAATTCCAAAATGTTTTAGTCTGACTGCATTCATAGAAGAAATGGTCTATAGTTTCTACATCACTTTCACAGAATGAGCATTTATTGTCATCAATATTAAAATGAATTCTTAGTAGTTCTTTTGATGGGTAGATGGCAGTTTCTTTAGCTTTTGGTTGTATAGGAAGTAAAAAAAAAAGTTCTTGGTATTTCAATTGATTTTTGTTCAAATTTGCAAAGAATGTCATTTTTATTTATTTTCCCAGGGAACAAAGTTTCATTTAGATAGTTTCTAATTGTGTGGTTATTGAATTTTTGATCAGTGATTGATATTCCATTAATAAGTAAATCGGGTAGTTTGGGGGTAATTGGATGATATATTATTATATTTTGAATCTGATTAATAAATTGTTCTGGCAAGGCGTTAAGTAATCTTGTAAATTCATCTTTTGGAGGAAGGAACTGATATTTTGTACAGAATTGTTCGTAATTTAATATGTAACCATTAGTGTCCATTAAGTGTATAATAGACCAAATATTCTTCTCCATCTAATCTTTGTAGAATAATGACTTATTGCGATGTAGAATAAATCTATTATTCCATATGATAGAGGAGTGTGGCGAGTAGTTATGAACATATATCATTTTCCATTTTTTCTACAATGTTAACTGTGCTTTATTGGGGATTTCCCTTCCTGTTTAGTTGGGCTGTCCCAATTGGCTGATTATTGGTGGGTCTATTTAAGGGGCACACTCCCAATGGCTTAGGGGTCTGCTTGGAGAGACTGGTTGGAGAAACTGCTCTTGAAGGTCTGCTTAGAGAGACTATATTTAAAGTCAGCTTGCTGTGAGGCTGTCAGTGTTTTGTATTGCCTGCAATGGCCGGTTTTGTTTTCTTTATTTGAAAGTATTTTGTTTGTTTTGTTTTTTTTTGTCTTCACCGTTGCACCAGTAAACCGCTACATGCTTTTGAACTGGAATTTTGTTGTCCGCTGGTTCTTACCACCTTTTTACAAGTCATCTGCTTACTCCTCCTCTGAAGTGAGACGGGAGCTGGTGAGCCGTTTTCTCACAAATACCAAATTCGGTCTAATTGGATGGGAATCTACGTTGCATTTGACGCACCACTACAAGATGAATCGACAGATTCGGCGGTATTAATTCGCGGCAAATCATTGCAGCTTGGTGGCGGTGGCGTTAGCACAGTAGTATGGACGACGAGATGATTGAAAATGAACACAACGGAGATCTAGTCCTATTGGCAGACATCCATTTAAAATGTAGGCAACGGCATGAAAAAAGTGGTTTCTACTTTTACTTTTATACTTTAAGTAAATTTACAAGCCTGTACTTTGTTACTTTTACTTGAGTAAAGAAGTTTAATCAGTACTTCCACTTTTACCAGAGTATTTTTTAACACAAGTATCTGTACTTTTACTCAAGTACGGAAAGTGAGTACTTTTGCCATCTCTGCTGTTTTGTCTAGATGATCTTGGTTTAGATGATCATGTTGAGCTGGGGAAGAAATTGAGATGGTTTCTGTCCTTTTAGTTACCCTTTGATTTATGTTATTCTGTGCTTGCTGTTAATATTTATATCATTTTGAGTTATTTCTTAGTTTTACTCTTCCTTGGGGTTTGTGTCAGGTATCTATTTTCAGCATTCTAGGTATTTATTTTATAATTGCTCTAGTTTTTCTTATTATCTGTTATTTTTAGATTATGGTTTCCTCTGGCATATAAGATATCTATCTCTGTAAGACTGAAAAAACACTTTTTATTGTGTATTCATTGTTTTTCCCCTCCTTTTTACATGTGTTAAAGATCATCTCTTTTTTATTTGGAGCGAGCATTCATCATGCGCTGCCACTGATAATAATGACACCTTGAGTTAATATCTAATTTCTGTTGCAGATACATTCATGCCTGATACACAATGTTATTATAGATATATTCTGATTAGTTTTACACAATTTATAGAAAAATGAAGCCACTGATGGAGATTGTTGCATTGTTGAATAAGTTAATAATTTATTACTTATAAAAAATGAAAGAAACACCAATATTCTGATACACAACACTTAATTTCACTGGGTGTAAGTTTAGTATAGTCAAGATAAATTACAGACATAATGAGTGACATTATTTTTAAAGCCTTTTCATTGAACCAAATGAACGCTAAAATCACTCAGTTTCAAAAAGAATATATACTTATTAAATTTATTTGGTTAAAAAAAGTTTACAAGCACATTTTTGTACTGTTTGTAAAGTTGCATTTGATGACTGCATTTTTTTAAATTTTAAAATGAGTCTGTAGAGCAAAAGCTGTCATTGCAACAGCTGATTTTATACTGAAGAGAACTTTCATAGCGTGACAAGATCATCAGGGATATTGTTAGTGCAAAGACCCCTAGCAGGCACTGAGTCGACTCATTCGTCAAACTCAAGAGTTTTTGCAGCTTTAAGCTAAATATTCTGGGGCATTTTAATCAATAAGTTCTTCAATACAAGATGTTTAAGCAGATAACTTTGTAGATATTTTCTCACCTTAAACGGGAACAATTTAATCTGAGTACTAAAAAAAGGGTTATGTCTCTTTTAACACAGCATATGCTAAAAACACTGCTTTGTATTTTATTCTATTTAATTCTAAATACTTTATTGAACTTAAAGAGAAACCAATAGGGGTTCTTTTTAAACTCTGGATGTCAGATTTACCCCCCTAAACAGTGACCCTGGACTTGAAGAGGACATACAATGTGACATTTAAATACAAATCAATCTAAAATTGCATCTGCATAAACAGAAAAAGGCAGGGAGACAAATATTTTCCATATGTTCTATTTTTTAATTGGAGTAACAATAGTTTCCAGCAGATACAGTAAATAACGGAAGTCCAAGCATGCTCAGTTTCCCACAGGGACGGATCTGAGTCCCAGCATTTTAGCATATTCCTTTAGCAGCAAGTGGTTCATAGAGATAGAAGATCAATTATATAGACTGACAATCAACAGTTTGGACACACCTTCTTATTCAATAGTTTGTCTTTATTGTCATGACTGCCTCTAGGAACTCCTTCAAGACTGTAAGCCACTTAACATGGCGATCAGCTGAGCCTCAGCAAAGCAAAAGGAGGCTATTATGGTGGATCTATGATATAAAATGTTTTCAATTATTACCAAACACGTCTTAAATATTGCATCTTCACAATTTCTTTCTTCAATATGTGCAAATTGTATCCAAAAAGAAAGAAAACCTATTGAATGACCAAAAGTGTGTCAAAACCTATCATTTGTAGCGTACACACACACCCACTAATATATATATATATATATATATAGATATTTAGGTGTGTGTGTGTTAAAAAAAACAGGTTAATAGTTTACTTCTTTAAACAGATGTAAAAATAAAAGTGTGTTTTTATGTGTAAATACATACAAAATATACAGTTGAACTCATAATGCAGAGTCTATAGGGCAGAAACCTTTCAGAAAACATACCAATACAAACTTATTGTTCAAGGACTCTTCTACCATGACAACCACTCTTCTTCGTTGTATTGGTTTGTTTCATAAGGTGTTCAAAAGTCCCTCCAAGTGGGGAGACATTAAAATCTGTATACAAGTCTTCATTATACCATAATAAAAGGTTTGTAAAAAATAGAACAGATCTCTAAATGTGGGGAGTGATTTACCTTCCAGAGGTTGATGTTTTCTTTCTATTTACTGTGTTTAAATGTCTTGCAATAGTCCCAGTATGCCTGTTAATATTCTAAAGCTGAGCAGAAGTTGTTTATTGTCTGATCAACAACCAGTGGTTCATCCATAGAAATAAGGGAGTCTGTGTCCAAAGAGAATACTTGATTTGCTGCTCTGTGGTTCTCAGGAGATCCAGAGGCAGACAAAGCTGACAGGATGGTGCTTTTTTATTTCTATGGGTCCATCTCTCCTGGTGGTTTATCATTTACAGCACTGCTTCTTTTCAATGTGCAGGACTCTGCTACAGCGGGGGCACGAGTGATAAGCATCCTTGAAGCTGTCCATGAAGAATGGAATCAAGCAGCAGCATAGGAACAACCTGCAAAAACCCCCACAAAATTCAAAATTAAACAACGGCCGTGTTTAATGCGACCATATGTGAGATTCAATCATCCTGGCTGCTGAAAAGCTACAATAGAGAATAAAGTAGTTTTTGCTCATTCTTCAAAGCTCAAGTTAAAAGGGTATGGATGTAGTCAATGAGAGCATCAAGTCAATGATTATTAAACTAAATTTAGATTTTATCTGTAACTTTGCCGTCCTACTGGTTGCTGTCCTTTTTCAGCCATTAACAGTTTTTCTTTTAGGTTTCTTTCAAGTTTCATACATATTGCATATGTATGCAAAAAAATGATTAAAAAAATCCCCTAAGCATGATGCTGCAGCCTTTTTCCTTGTGGTCATAAACTGAGATGAACAAAAGATGTATCATCTTTTATCTCAGCATCTCCTGGTGGCTGTTAAACTAATAATTTCCTCTTTGTCAGAAGCTTCATCTTGCATTTTTTATTGCTATAATTAAGGAAACGGGGGGCGAATGTCCCTCAGTTGTCATGGTGACCGGCCTGATATCAGATGTTTAGTAAGAAATCTGTAATATATCGTCATTATAATGGTTGATCGCATTGGTTTAGGAAAACTTTGGTCATTTGAATACAAATGAAATAATTTTTTTGGTATATTATTCGATTAATATATAAGGATTTCGTATTCATTTTATTTTCAAATGAATAAATATCAATCATAAACCTAAATTATAAAATCAATATATTTTAAACTTTACTTAATGAGAAATACTCTTTTCACTTTTGTTATAGATGAAAGTATTAATACATTGCTTATAGAGAAATAGATATTTGATGTGTTTAATTAGTTAAAATATTTACTTGAATATTAACTATGATAAATACAACTGAATTAAATAGAAAGAAAAAAATGACATATGATATTGAAAGATATTTTAAATGAAGAAAAGACTCCTCCTCAAGAATATTTTAGGAAATTAAATTAAATTATGTAACTTTGAAAGCAAAGTCATGACAGTTACTGTGTTTGATAACTAATTATTGTACATTATTAGTAGTTTTTGTTCTAATGCAGACATGCCATCAAGCACTCACCCGCAGCAGATGAAGAGTATACACATGAGCCAGGCGTACGTCCCTGCCTTGTAGGTGACGTTGGTCATGACCTGCTGTTGGCAGCTCGAGCAGGTCGTCATGCCTGATGTACGACCCAGACCCGATTCGTAACTCACAAACTTATTTTTGTTCTCCCCATTGCCTCCCCCACCACTGGTGTAAACTAAAGAGACATGAGGAAAAGAGGAATAGAAAGGTTAGAGAATGACTCTGATGAAGTTTTCTAATACAAAAAATAATAAAATAATCATCTCTATGTTAAAAAAAAGGTGTTTCATGATGTGCAAAATTACCTGGTGTGACAGAGGCGGCGGAGGCGGCCTGCTCATGATCTGGGGGGGTGAACGGGGTGTGCACATGGTAAACCTTCACACCAGATCCCTGACCTTCAACTGAATCAAACAAACAAAGAAGAAAAAAAAGAAGGGAATTAAAAAACAAGAAGATGGTGTTGATGATCATGTGCCTTTGAAAAAAAGCATCCCTACAGTATGATGCTGTTGCATCACGGGAATGATGTGTCTGATTGTAAAGAGCAATTTTCAAAGTTGGTTTCAAAGTTCATCTAAATAAAAGTTCTTTAAAGCTGCAAATATTACAAGATCTTTAAAATAAAAAACAGCTAATTATTTCTGCTATATATCTGCTATAAAAAAATCTGTTGTCATTGTGAACAGTTTTATTTTATTGTACTACCCTTTAATACCAGTTGTATTATTTTTTACTTTTTGAGATCTCTACATCATTATGATATCGATGTTCTTGAAAATCCTGATTTATATGAACGGACACATCGAGTGTCCAATAGAAATCCATCATTAATCGCACAGAAATCCCTAATGTATCACAACCGATACAAATAACATCTAATTCAAATTATTCAAAACTAATTTATCTTTTTATTATTGGTCAATGTCCTCCAATTACAACTTTGTTTTAAAAGAAATGAGAATTGTCTCAAAATTATTTGAACTGTTTGGGCTTTACAGGGTTAAAATAAGGACAAAACATAAAAGTTCAATAAAGAGGAAGCAGGGATTTTCTTTTATAGGATAAAAGGATAAAACACCTGGTGTCTAGACTAAAGACAAGAAATAAAGAACATATTTATTGATCTTCTTAGACTGATACTTCAAAACCACTAGTTGGTTTCATAATTATTTAAAAAAAACTATTAAGAGCCATTGTAAGGGGTCCAATGGGCCCCTTTTGACTCCCGAGCAACAGGTTGCAGGGCCTGCAGCCCAATAAAAGCTAAGTTCCCCTTCTTCCACATGTTTTATCTGTTTCATCAACACATCCTTTTGCCTTAAAAGGCTGATTTGTGGAGAGTACAACTGGGGTTTTGCATGCCAATAGTTTCTCCAAACTAAGCTGTGGATCTCTGCAGCTCATTGGCCTTTAAATTACAGTTTGTTCACTTAATATTCTCTATCAAGCTTTGAAGGCTTCATAAACAGCTGGGTTATACAGTAAAGTTTATTTAGGGGTATTTGAGTAAAAGGAGCAATGCTATGATTTTCCTCTCACGCCCCAATTATGATGTTTTTTGTGTTGGTCTTTGTAAATTCAGACATTTTGCCAAAATATTGAAAAGTGTCTATGTGGGCTTGCAGTCTTTGAAAGGATGTGTGTTCAGTCATACCTGGTATGAGGTAGGGAGGGGGGTCTTGTTTTCCACTTGCGCTCATTTTTCTGCACAGAAATAGAATACAGGAAATTAGTCCAAAACGCATCTAACATAACAAAAAGACAACAAATCTAAAATTCTGTTTAATATTGTGAGGTAGGGTACCAATATCTGCCACAAGAGGGAGCCAAACCCTTCCTTTTTCTGCTCTCAGTTAAAAAAAATAAAACAAACCAGTATCTTCCATAACTGACATGGTAAGAGTGATGGATCAGTCGTCTGGTATAAACTCTACATTGTGTGGATCTTTTGTGTCAGCATCCCCAGGAAACGCCTGGGTGTGTCTGTGGAGACATATTTCAGGTGCGGCCACCGACTGAAACTCCTTTCAGTCTGAACAAACAGCTTCCCATGTAAATGTTAGAAGCAATTCTAATGTCTTCTTTTAAACACATGTTCTGAAATATGTGGAAAATGTTATTTGGTTCAGCGATCATCTACAGTTTTAACCATTAAGATGTGGAATATTTTAAATCTTGAGGGCCCCGCTAGGCTCTCGCTTCATCTATCTGTAACCCTCAAAATGCATAATCCTTTTATTTTATGAAGACTTATTAATTCAGCTGAGGAAATTATATATAAATAAATAAATAGTAATCTCCATAGGCTCTAGTGGCAAGTTTTTATTAATCATACAATTTTTTACACCTACATTAATTGACTAAATGCATTTGAAGACCTTATTAAAAGCTTCCTCAACTGAAAAGGGTTTAAATATAATATTGAGGAGACCTTTCTTCTGATTCTGTATATTTTTGCCTGGATTGCAATGAAAAGCTCTGAAAAACATCCTATGACTATCAGAGTTTCTATGAAAGTTGGAATGGAAATAAAATCTTTATTCAGTTGCTTTTTTTTGTACGTAAGTAAAGAATAAGAGCATGCTTTGTGTTTTTTATGTTAGTTACTACAAGAAAGTATTATTTTTGTCTTTGTCAGTTTGGTCTTTTAACTCTAATCCATGCTGAACGTGTGCAGGACAAAAACATGTCATATGTTTTAAAGTATGTTTTAAAATACCTCAAAGTTGTAATTTGCAATCTGAGCTCAAAAATGTATACATGCTGTACTGTTTATTTTTAGTGAGTAATAATGATCTGGAAAAGAAGTGACAAACTGAGGAACTTGTGTTAAGTAATAGAAGGCTTATTATATGGATGGAATGCCTCCCCCAACAACACACCCTATGGCATATATGGTCTCAGTTCAGATATCTCTGAATGTTAAACATTCACTCCAGCAATTAGGATGTTATCAAATATTGTACAATATGAACTAAAAAAAAAAAAAAAAATAAATAAATAAAAAAGAGATGTCATTTTCATTTAGCATAATGTGTGTCTTGAGTATTGGTTAGCAAAAGGTCTCATTGTCTCACACAGAGGGCCTGAATGCACCTTTATCCAGCAGAGGAATGCTACAGATCTGCATGCTTCTTTCTGTATCACAGACTAAGTCAGGGTGTGTCACTCAGACCCAGACGTTGTCAGTAATCGGTCCTTTTGGTCATTTACATGTATTTAAAAAAAAAAAAACTCTACGTTGCAACCTCACTGTTCCCTCTTTCTTTTTTTTTTTTATCAGAACACCTGTATGTGTTGCATTGGTATGAGGTCAGATCTTAGATAACTGGCTTCGTGTCACTCCCTGGCTCCGTTCCAGTGGCTTTCAAACAGCTGGCACTGGTTTCAGGTTTTTCAAGTAAAACAGTTGATCCTGTTAGAGATATTTCTCTAAGTCTCAGAGGTTTTTTTCCTCTTGAATACCACCTGTCAATACATGGGAAACTTTGCAGTGTCATGGAGATAAGAATTAGGTGTGGTTCTCAAAAAAAGATGCTTTTAAGCCACCATCAAAGACGTTTAAAGGGTAAATCAATACATCCTCTGATAAGTTTACAGGGCTACTGGTCCAGCTGCAGTCTTTGATTCCCTAAGTTGGTTCCAAAACGGTCAAGAACAAAAAAACTGATTCTGACTGTGCAGGTTTTATCTTTTATCATGATGTGAAGTTTGGGCAGGAAATATAGTCCAAACTTAATATTTTTTTATTCTAAATTGTCTTGTTTCTCATGCTAATCCCATGAACTGTATCAGAATCACAGGTGTGGCTTCTTACTGTGCACTATGTGGCACCTGTGCCGGTCCAACCTGAATGTGACAATGCCTGTAAATGGATTTGAATCAGCTGACCAAGGTGGAGACAAGCAGGAACAATAAGTTCCCCAGTTCACCCTTTAGTCCTACAGTTGTCTGTATTATTAAAGTTTGGATTTAGAGAAAAAAAATAAGCGCACAGAAAACAATATATGACCTCTCTTTGATGCCCTCCATTTTTTTTTTTCTTTTCTTAAAGCTTAAAAATGTGGCTCTTAAACAGTTCTAAACTGAACGACACAGCAAACTGGAACATTTAATATTAACTAAATGATAGAGATGCATTTTAAAATTGTTAATTAAGGTATTAAGAAAAATAAAGCTAGGGATTTAGTTAGGAAACACAAAGTTTTCGCTTCAAACTTGAAAACAAAAACTCATAACTGTACCTTTTTTTGATGACATCAAAAGCGACGCTGGAATCAAGCCAATCGGCTGGATTTAGTGAACATAATTCAGACTAGAAACAACTAAATGATTACAGTTACTTTAATGTAAAAAGGGTTAAAATCCTAACCTGTTTGAGCACTCCGCTTTCTGAGAGTTATCAGAAGCTGATGTTTTTGTTGGGTCGAATTTATTACAAATTCAAACAAAATAGCAGATACAAACTGAAAGACAATAAGTTATTTTTGCACTTGGAAGGAACGCTTCTTAGATATTAAACTTAATTAAGCTTTATTTTATTTTGTTTGGTTATTCTGAAAGTAAACGTTTTTAATTTGCTGGTTTTATTCCTTCTCAATCTCATGTTTAGAGATTGTGTAAAATACAAAGATTACAACAGATAGAATTGAATATCTGAATAGCAGAGCAACAATTTTAGTTGGAGTGATTTTAAACTGAAAATTAAAATAATCCAAAATCTGAATGTAATTTATCTCTTTTATCATGAAATCCAAACTCATTCAGTCATAAATCAGATCCCCTTTCCTTCTGCTCTGTATGACAATTAAATTAAAAATAAAATAATGAATCGATTGAATAAAAAAGTGTAAATATTCCTTTGGTCTTACCTTGGTAGTGTGTTGCAGTGAGTATGCAGATAGGTGTGTGTGTGGGTGAGCTCCTCCTGGTGACTTCTGAGTGACTGAAGCTGACAGCCTGTCTCTCCTCTACCTCTATGAGCCTCACCTTCAACCTGCCCACTGCCCCGCCTTCGCCATAACAATGAACGAGAAGCAGGAGTGACTCACCCAGTAGTTTTGATGGAACAGCCTGTACTGGTCTTTTTTTTTCTTCTTCTTCATATAACCTGCTGGTTATTTCCAAGAGATTACCGAGGGAGTGTATATATTTGTCACTTTCTTTATGTGGATTAACCCGTCTCTGTCCGATGGTGCTGCATGATAAAGCAAACAGCTCAGTTACACAGACCAGAGATGCTGATGCATTGTTTCTTACTTGGTATTTCAGCCTAAGGCCACAGAGGAACCAAGTGACACACATTTGCATGATTTTACTCCCAGGAATTCTGAGAATTTTTATGACCAAAGACAAACCCTTTTCAAAAATGTTCAAAAAGAAAGTTTGATTTCATTCATTCTCATAAGTTCAACCAAATTTATTATAATTTCTCGTTAAAATAAAGGTAAACAGAACCGGTTCAGCCCTAACCAGAAGCAAATGTGGTTGGCATTGTTTTTCGTTTTGTTAAGAGTGGCCTTTATTTATAAAGGGTTTTAAAGGTATAGAAGACTATCTTTTAACTCCGGGTGGATCATCTAAATAAGTGGTCCACCTAATTGTCAATCATTGTGGTGATATGTTTATGTAAGGTCGTCCTATGTGCTTGTCCCAGGTTAGCTATCTTTGTCTGCACATGCGCACTTTCAGACGTATATCTGTGGCGAGCTGTGTGACCAACGGAGCAAAAAGCAGTGATCATCTGTCCGAACCGTCAGTTAACTGAGTTTGGTATAAAGTGCACTATATATTCCCCACTATATTTAGTGATTAAGGGATTTAGGGGTGAGGGCGGAGGTTTGGACGCAGTAAGCTTGTGTGAGCTTTGAGAACAGCAACTTTTAAACAGTATGATCGCCATTGCGGAAAACAACTCATTAAGTTGGACCAGCTAGAAGAGCGAGGTGCGCGAGAACCCCGGGAGCTTTTTTTCACCTGGATCCCCGCTCTTTTTCGCCCTCATGTCCCTCCATTGTCGCACAAACTTGCCCCCACTTCCTCGCCTCCTCGGCCGTATCTACACCTTCAGCTAGTTCGTGATTGTCCCTCTTGCGTTGTGGCGTGGAATAACATAGCGCAGACCACGCTTCAATAGTGGACGTAAATCAAAAATATCTCACTGCGACACACTGCTGCAGGGCGGTTAACCAGCCCATTAATAGGCGTTCCCTCTTGGGAGTGGACACAGGGTTCAAACAATTACAGGGTTGTGAATGTTTTTTTTTTTTTTTTTTTAAAGTCGAGAAGGCGAGTCATTTGAAAAAATCATGAAAATCCTCCACAATATCTTTAATAGGAAATAAGTAGAAAGGGGTCAGGACTGAAACTCTGGATACCCATCTCTTGGGACTGGGGGTCACTTTCTATATCCCTGTATCACAGCCATGCCAGGAGATTTAAGTTTGAATCAAAACTAGCATTAGAGATTGGTAAATAGTATGACTTTGATTAAAACACAATAATTTTTTTTCCCAGCTTCCCGGGATAATCCAAAATATGCAGTAAAAGACATTTTTCTCTCATTTGGAAGATACTGATGAAGATATCATCTCTATGATAAATCAGTGCAATGACTCCACAGCAGCCTGTTTTCAGTCTCCCTGGTTCCCAACAGCTGTGCAGTCCGATCGGTGGTGGTAGTCCAGATCCACCGCTTTGTCTTGTAGGTACGTTGAAGGATGTCTGGTTTCAGCCGATTTACTTGGTATTTTAGGGTTTTGCAACATCCCAAATTTTCTTTGAAACGTTACTACTGTACATTGGACCATTGTACAATGCTATGATGATTGAAGTTGAATATATTGTGAAACTGTTTGTGACACGCCCTGCTTAAATGTTTTGAATCATAGCTGATCATCCTGCTCCAGTCCTCTAAACCCAACCCCTGCTCCATTAGATCAGGTGTGCCTCTGGGCTCTGACCCAGGGCCCTTCTCTTTATCACCTGCCTTCTGCCTCTTGGCATTGTTTTCTATAATTACAAAACACATTTACTCATTATCTCATCCTACAGCCTCTGCAGAAGCTCCTGGTTTGGTCATGTACCAGTAAAAATCAACTGTTAAATTGAATCAAATGGCACACAGATATGTGTTGAATCTAATCAGGATCCAATTATCTCTGCAAATTTTTGTTAATGGGATTAGATATTCTCATGTAATCCATCCGAGGAGGGTGATGCATTACATTATTTATTAGTGTTTCTCTAAAATTATGTATAGAAGCCTCTTTATTCTAAAAACCCCAAAAATAAACCATACAACCAAGCTGCCTTTGGTTGTGGAGCAGGAAACTAACACTAAAAAGTAGAGCTCAGCGATACATAGCAAATGTAATACTGCTTGTCTCAAGCCTCACAAACTCATATTTTGCATCTCAATAAAACATTCAGGTGGTTGGGTGGGATAACCTCAGTAGATGCCTAAATAGATATTAAAGATTGTTGGAAGCAAAGAAGAAAAAAGATGGATGCAGATCCACACATAAGGATGTGGAATCAACAGATAATGTTGAGTTAGGATGCTGAAAACAATTATCTGAATCTAACTGGGAATTACATCATATCTGAAAAAGCTCCAGCCGGTAAAATATATAAAAGTTTAAAAATGTAAACACAATTCTGGGGTTATAATATTTTTGGAAGGTTCTGTTTTACAGTATGACAACAACCGAAATCTTTTCTTTTATGTATGACTGTTTATAACGCATCATGTTGCACTTTGAGTAAAATGTGCATTTGGACAGCTGGCAATGGTAAATATATGCTGTGTTTCAAATACTTAATCCTTTCTTCATCACACCCTGACGCCAGAGGAGACGACTTGCCCGTTTGTGGACGATTTTGGTTCTGTGACCATATTCTGTGATATGGTCCCTTGTTGGATCAAATGTGTAACACCATTGGGTCAGATTGAAGTTGCTTAGGATGTTACAAAGTTAGAAAGGGGAAGGGAACATTGTGTTGTAGGTTCTACTTAAAAGTGAGTATTTAGAGCATCTTATAAAGGATAAATGATTGTACATGAAACCATGAAGTCTAAAGTTTCACTGTCACTGGTAACTTACACCTTAAACCAACTTGTCACAATTGAACGAGATGCTCATCAGAGAAACTAAAATGTGGAATAAAAAAAAAAAAAAGATTTTAATGTACTTTGCACATGAAAAGTAGAAAGTAAACGTTGTAGTGTTAGCTGACATGATACTCATAAGATATTTGTGTTCATCTTGGAAGCTGAAAGGACCAGTCCAGCTCAGCAACATTTTTCATCTGTTGGTCACTGGATTCTAGGTTATTATCTCCGCTGTCCTCGGACTGAGCGTCTCCACATCTCCACCTTACAGGTGTGTTTTGGGAGACCGGATCTGATTTTCAAAATCTTCGCTCTAAATATAGCAGAAACAAATATATTGGCCCACATGAATGATTCAGACAACTTTTTAGCCATGTTTAGACCTAAACTGATGTCTTTATGGAAGTGCTTTTCCCTCTCACGTTTCCATTTAGTTGAAAATTTGTCCTATCTAGCTTTAACTTGGGCACTGTCATTACTTCTGGCATCAAAGAACCAAAAACCAAAAAAAAAAAAAACAGAAAAAAAAAGAGTCCAACTTTATCCTGCATCAATTTATTTTGAAAACCCACATATGACTGTTAACTTGGAAGCAGGCTAGACAATATCTGCTATGATAAAGCTGGGTAATTTTACATTTTTGTACCCAAACTACCTCTCCTTTGAATTTAAAATGGTCAGACTTGTTGCATGATTGCCTGGAGCCAGTTTCTTGGCTGTGGTTAACCCAAACACATTGAGTGCGTTCTGCGCAAGGTTAAATTGCAGCCATTTTATCCCTAAAACGTTGCCTAATTCTAGGAAGTAGTCACTCTAAACAATAACAAAGCAACTAAAACAAAAACGATGTCTGAAAGTCTGATCCATGCCGCCTTCCCATCATTGTTTAGTTGGTTAAAAGGACTAGATTAATCTACAAGGGTAGTGAGGAAAAGCACATTTTAAATATTTTATTTGATTTCCTTTTAACAAGAAGCCCACATGTAAATTCACACCAGCATAATGTATCCATGCCTCTAAATCCTTTTTATTTCATAGTTGTAGTAATCATCATTCAACCACCGTCTTCAGCTTGTGTGCTAAAAACACAACAACAAAATATCATGAACTAAGTAAGTAATAACTGACAGTGTTATTAAACAGATTTCCTGTATATTAATCCACAAAGCGTTGCGTTCAATTTCTGTCTGGGCTTCTTCTTCTCTAAAGCCACATAAAACCAGAGACAATTGTTAAACAGCGTCTACCTGTACCTACTGTGACCAGTGAGGACGCTTTTTAGATTTTATTTGTAAACAATTATAAAACCATGTGTTTTTCTTTTATTTTGCAGAGATGGATCTAGCGATTTATCACAGAAAATCCCATTAAATATTTAGAAGTCAGTGGATGAACCATGAAAAATTACCAAAAAGTTAATGGAGTTTTATTTAGTAAAGCACTCTAAGCTGTTTGAATTATACCGAATGTAGTATTCTGTGAATTTTTAGAGTTTTCTACCTGTTCGAATCACTTTTGGCAGCATCTACAGTAAAAAAAGGTGGTGTTGGGTGTTGACGCTTTGTGCTGTAAGAAGGGTGGGGTGGTTGTGGCTTGTTTCGATGAGCCAGATGGACAGCATTCCACAACAAGCCAACCATGAGGTTTGACATTCAGTTCACAAGATACTGGTAGGTTATCAATAAAATCTTCAATTCACTCGTACGTCCCAGTTTCAATTTCCAAACAAGCTGTAGTTTGTGTAAACCATTGACTGCTGCAGTTAATGGCAGTAATTATAATGGCAGGGATTCTCTTCCTGTAAAAAGATGTCATTATTATTTTGGCTCTTCTAAGCAGAAGAAGGACTATTTTTATTGTTTCATGTGTTTATTTACATTTTATTCATTAAGATTTAGCCTGAGTTTTGGTTCCAAATAGGATCAAACTCTCTCACAGCATTAAAAACCTCAAATAAAAACATTTATGTTTGTAGGAAATAAAGGCCTCTGCAAACCAAGGATACTTCAAATGTCAGCATTCTTGAAATGCAGAAAATCGTCTTGTTATATTATATTATATTCAGTGATGCTGCAGAGTAGGAAGGAAATATTCCTCTGATTACTTGTAGTTTCGAAATTTCCTTGGGATAAATAAAAATTTCCTTGGGTGGGATTAAAGAGCTCTAACAAAAGAAAATATATGAGGAGACAAGGTCAGTGAGTTCTAAAGCCAGGTTCCTATTCTGACATAGATAAGGCCATTGATAGACCTATTTACCTGCATGACTATTCTTTGACATAAATTAGGGTTAGGCATTGTTCTGGAAGGCCGCAGGCTCAGCTCTTTTGCAGCCTCTTGTAGACCTCTATGAGGGACCGGTACTTAGATGGAATCAATGGTCTATTTAAGTCCCACCTCCAGAAGAGCGTTTCCCAGAATCTGGGGGATTTTGGAGCCATTAACAGTGTGATAGTTTATAACCCTTAGCCGTGGCTGTAAGGGTTAACACTGCCTGTTGCTGTACCCCCTAAAACTGATTGGGGATACTGGAAGAAAGGGACGCCATTAACCTAAAGTGCTGACTTGTGGCTCATCAATGCAACAGTTACTGTGAGGACCAAGCGTTTGTCAGAGGGACAAACACTCAGTACTCAAAGGGATTATTAAATGCTGGAACATTGTATTATAACATTGTTCTGCTGTTAATGTATTCATATCTTCCATATTGACCCTTCTGCTGTTCTGCTTGGTCTTCATGATGCTGAGATTGAATCGCAAACAGGCGAACCCTGTTTAGATTAGGCAACCTCTGCCATTAGTTTAATCATATTTTATTTAGGGGACAGGATCTACATCAAAATGTTCAAACAACCTGTTCAGTCTCAGTTTTACAAACAGTTAAAAAAGCCAGTACTGTTTCCTTATATCTTACTCTCAGCTTTGCTTTTGTTCAACACTGAAAATCCTGTTTTTAAACTGACAAAATGTAAAAAAAAAAAAAAAAAACATTAAATGTAGACATATTGTATTAAAATACCATATTTTCATTTCTAAATATTTTTTACTTCATACCAAACACTGGTGATGAAAATTCCACTAAAAGTCCTTTCGATGTTCATCTGTATTCTACATACCTCATCTATACTGTAATGCAAAGTGAGGTAAAATGTGTATTTTTAGCATCTGTAACCATTCCTGATTCCAGGTAATCAGTGTTCAGGTCTAAAGGCACAAAATATCAAACATAAAGTGTACCAGAGTATCATCTGCATAACATCAGACCGATGAGGAACTCGGTCTTCTTCTTTGCTGAACTGGGAATGGGACTCATCTTTCTCAAAGGTGAGCTGCTTATATTGATAGTTTCCTTATATTCAATAGGAGCTAAATGCAGACTGATTAGCAGAGCTGTTAGTTCGCTGGTGATAAGATAAATGGTTTAAATTTTTATTCCACTGCTTGTCTCACTTTACTTTGCGTTTTTGGGAACAGCAAATGTTAATCATGTTTTTGGCATCTGCCTGTACAAACCAATTGAAGCGGCGACTAGGAGGAGCGGAGAGAGATGAATGTTGGTGTGGTCAGAGGGACAAAAATAGTCTGTGACTCAGGAGGTATAAAGCTACTGCGAGAAAGGAAGTGCCAGTAGTAATACTTCTGTGTCTATCTTCTATCAGCTTCTTTTGGCATCTGTTTTTGTGTCCGCCATTCTTCCCCACCTTTTGTTTATCTAGAAGTCTACAGAGGTTTATTTAACTTTCACCCTTCCTCTTAGGTTTGAGATTTCATCAAGGATAATAGGATCATAATAAACATAGTGCTTTTTCATTTAATATAAGTAGATTTGTTTATTTGCAGTTCAAATGGGCAAAGACTAATACTAAATTACTGTTGTAGCCGATATAACCTAAATTGGTCCGATGCTAACACAAGGGTTAAGTAACGTAGATCAAAGAAAAATGAACCAGATACTGTAGGCAAAGAAAAAAACAAACAAAAAAGCTTAAGGCATAATGGACTTTCTAACATAACACACAAGCCCAAAAGCCTTAAAAAATTGCAACAATTTCTCCTGTCTAACAGGACAAATGCCTTTGGGTAAGTTTGGAAAGAGAGTAAGTACGTGATTTTATTTACACTACTTTTTAAACAAATATACAAGATCTCCACATAGATAGATCCCTTTAGTTGCCAAAATGTAAAAAGGAAACAGTCAATGTGATTTCTATAAAAAAAAGTTAAAAGGACATCACTATCATTAAGTCAGTCTCGCTTGTGACACTCTAACCAAGCTAATCTGGTTGGTATGAGCTTCTTTTTTAAAGTGAATGTTTCCAGATTATTTATTTTTGTTTTTATGTATCCGGTAACTAAAACAAACAATAAATCCTTTAGTACAACAAAAAAAACATCACATTTTAGGAGCAGACCATGAGAAAGAGTACATAATGAAATGTTATTATAATATTTAACAGTAAAAGCACACAAAGGCTGAGGTCCTTTGGAGTGGGCAGGCCCCTGCTTAAAACCTTCTATGACTCTCTGGAGGCATCAGCCCTCCTCTACCCTGTTGTCTGCTGGGCCCCTGGCAGCACAAAGCGGGACAGAAAGAGAATGAACAAACTGGTGAGAAATGCCGCTTGTGTCCTAGGCTGCATTCTGGACTCAGAGGAGGAAGTGGCTGAGGGGAGGCTGCTGTCCAAGCTTACATCCATCATGGACAACACCTTCCACCCTCCGCACCAGTCTGTAGAGAAGCTGAGCAGTTCCTTTAGCGAAAGACTTTTACACCCTTTCTGTGAAAAGGAGCGCTACCGTAGGTCTTTCATCTCTGTGGCCATCAGACTTAACCATGTGACACCATAACTGCAATAACTAATGTGCAATTAAAATGTAATACCCTGTGCAATAACCTGTGCAATAATCCTGTCAAATAAGAGACTTCAGCTGTTATAATTATCTCACTATCTCACAGTTATTCTTTACCTGGTACCATTTTCTCGATCCACCGTATATATGTGGACGCACTATATATACCCCATGCACCTCTTCCTCTTTTTGGCACCTTCTTCTGGCACTATTGTAGCCAATGCACTTGTCACTAGCCAATGTGACAAGTGCATTTCTCCAATGTGAGATCAATAAAGTCTATCTTATCTTATCTTATCAAAGACATTTTAGCATATGGTGTAAAAACAATTAAAAGAAGTCAGTATTTTTTTCATGAGTGTAGCTTTAAACTTTTCCATACTAAGGCTGTATTTCCCTTTTTTGAACTACTGAGGCCATGTTTTGTTCTGTCTGACCTGAATCTTTGCAGCTATTATACTGCTATTTTATAAACGTATGGTTTCACCATGAATGAAAGAAAGGAAATACTATAAACTCTAATCTAAAGCATGATCATAATTTTGTTTGCTTGATCCTTCTCTACCAAGTATACCAGGTTCAAGAGCTATTTATACTACATGAACTATTTCCCATTGTGTACACATTATGTACAAACTACAAATCTGACCTTAATGGAAGAATAAAAAAGAAGCAATACAAATAATGTGTTTGACACAAACTATAGAACTTAAACGCTGCGGTTTCCAGAAACTGGCTTCCAATCTTAGAAAACTTGAGCTATTTTACAAAATAAAGTGCAAAGATGGAGAAGGCTAGCAGACAATATGCAGATATAAGGGCAAGGAAATAGGATTCTATAGAGCATTAAAACAGTAAGAGTTAATGCAAGTTTGTCATAGATCTACAGTCTAAGAGCATTGCCTCCAGTTACAACATGATGGACCACTTTGTTTAGTCAATTACATGGAATCCCAACATGATGCCATAAGGTTTGTAGTTTTGTAGTAAAAAGGGAAATTAGAAAAAAAAAAAGGAAAAAGACTTTTAGAGTAAGAAGCTGCCATTCCTGTTTTCAACTGGAAACGACACTAGGATGATTTTCCCTGATGGTGAATGTGCGTCCTGTCCTAAAGTAGTTCTCTATTTCCTCCAGCGAGCGTTTGCGAGTCTCTGGGATGCACACGGCGTTGAACAGCAGGCAGAAGACGCACACTACAGTGAAGATCAGGTAGGGCACGTAGAGCCCATAGGCGTCTACCAAGTGGGTAAAGGCTTGTGTCAGGGCGAAGGCCGTCACCCAGCTTACGGTGACACATAGGCCTGATGCCACGCCCCTCGCCACCAGCGGCAGAACCTCTGACATCAGCAACCAAGTGATGGGTCCCCATCCCATGGCGTATCCTAGGAAACAGCCAACAATGAGATGACAGAGCAAGAAACAGGTGGAGCATAAAGTTTTTGTTTTGCTTCAGTGACACAGCTGTGACGACATGATAACCAGTTTCACCTGCCAGGATTTAATGAGTTTGAGGACACGAATGTAGACAATTAGGAAGGCAACAGTTAATTGGGCTCCAGTAGGTTAAGAAAAAAATCTGCAGCTGTTACTAATGGGGTTGCAAAAATAAACAGTGTGAATACTCCTAATGACTTCTGCATGTTGATAGTCCAGTTGTTCGGTGAATCGGCTGGTAGACACACCTTCTTCCACCTTTAACGCAGAAGAGGCCTCTTTCCTGATACCTTGTCACTTTGATATTATTGTTCTATGAGGCCAACATCGTATTAATCACACAAGTAAAATGTTATTTCTTTAAATCAAAATTAAACATGAGGAATGGTGTTGAAGAATGAGATAAATACCCATTTAAAAATAGATGCAACCAAGAAATGCTTATAATAAACATTTTCCATACAGCTAAGAGCTCATCATCATGAGGAAACAACTGATATTATGATAACCAGAAAAATAATAAACGCTTAAAAGTTTTCCTCCCTAAATAAATACACATTTTGGTATTGCTCATGATCAGGTTAGCAGGTTATCAACTTAATAAAACTCTTTTAATTACTGTGATTATTGTTACAGTAGTTTTCCTTTTGTCTTTATTTTTTTTCTGCCCCCTGCTGGTAAAAATATTGCATGTCTACAATACAATAAAAAATAATTAACAATTTTATATGCATATATGACATAACAGAAACTAGTGGCACTTTTTGTGTTTTTTTTTTTCTAGGTTATAACCATAGTGGCCTTTTTCTCACTGTGACTATGACCATGATATATCCAATTTACTACATCTTTCTCATTAAGAAATAGTATCAGACACATCTATGTGTTGCACCAGTCCTCTTAAGTAAATAACATTTGATAAATATGAGCCAGAAGCTCTAAATAATATTGAGTGATTAAAACATGGATGCTCCAAAGTTAGCACACAGCTTCAGTCACTTCAGCTAGTAACCACTGATCAGGCCCGAAATCTAGGTGTAGTGCTGGATTCAGACTTGAACCTCCAAAACCATTTAAAGACAATAACAAGGTCGGCTTTCTATCACCTGAAGAACATTTCCAGGATTAAAGGACTAATGTCTCAGCATGATCTGGAAAAACTAATCCATGCGTTTATTTTTTGTCGAATCGATTACTGCAACTGTGTTTTCACAGGTCTGCCTAAAAAGTGGATCAGACAGCTGCAGCTGATCCAGAACGCTGCTGCCAGTGTCCTCACTAAGTCTAAGAAAGTAGAGCACATCACCCCAGTTCTAAAGTCCTTAAGCTGGCTCCCTGTATCTCAGAGAATAGACTTTAAAATACTTCTGTTAGTCTATAAATCTCTGAATGGCTTAGCACCTAAATACATCACAGACTTGCTATCAGTGTATCAACCCTCCAGACCACTCAGGTCTTCTGGCTCCAGCCTGCTCTGCATACCTAGAATCAGAACTAAACATGGAGAAGCAGCATTTAGTTCTTAACCCCTTGAACCCTACAGACCCACCGGCGGGTCCAGCTGCTACATGACCTCGTAATTTTACCAAACCCCCAGTATTGATGTAAAAAACATATTTGGCACAGTTTGGTGACATTTATGGATAAATGTGCCAAAATGGCCTCTCCGCCTAAGAAATTTCTCACTAATACCATTCTAAAATAAATATGATTCATCTGATTGAGTCCAAATTTGGTATCTTTTTACACAACATTTAGATTTGAGAGTCTGTACTACTTTTTTGTGCTATAAATAATATTTTGGTAGTGTTTTGCAATGTTTATTTCAAAGAAAATTTTGGCGAGGTTCAAAAAATGCAAAATATTTTGTATTTTGTCCCTAATATTTCAGGCAGGGTCAAAGCTACAATGGTGCTGACACCAGAAAACCATTCTATGACATCTTACCTTTACAGACGTACCAAAAGTTTCTTCTTAAATCTAATAGCTTTGAGGCTATAAGTTATTTACTTTTGTGTGTTTTTTGTCAGGCAGAAATTTATTTATACCCCCTCAGGGTGTAAGAGGCTATGCTCCACTTATCTGGAACAAACTTCCAGAAAACTGTAAAAGTGCGGAAAGCCTGAGTTCCTTTAAATCAGGGGTGTCAAAGTGGTTCCAGAAAGGCCGTGTGGCTGCTGGTTTTCTTTCCATTCTATCAAGTCATCAGGTTAGACTAGACTCACCTTGATGAGATAAATGGAGTCTGGTGTGCTAGTGATTGGGTGGAAAGAAAACCAGCAGCCACACAGTCCTTTCTGGAACTAGTTTAACGCCTGTGCTATAAATCAAGACTAAAAACACATTTGTTTAGGATTGCCTTCAACTGTTCTAGTTAAACAGTCAAACTGAAACATCATTAGTTCAACTTTTTTATTTTCTTTAGTCCAACTGCTTTTAATGTTCTTTCTTGTTTCTGCATTTTTTGTATTATTTATTTTTTCTTCTACTTGCTCTGATTCTGTTTTATTTTCCTATATTTTAATCATGTAAAGCACTTTGCATTGTCTTTGTACTGAATTGTGCTATACAAATAAATTTGCCTTGCCTTGCTTACCACTGAGCCTACATTGTTATTCAAAGCATCTAAAAATATTTTAAAATGCACTTTTCTGAAATAAAAGGAGCCTTGGTGGTCATACCTCTCAAAAATGGAAGGCCAATACTTATTAGAATAGATGCTGTGTCAATTAACAAATGCTGTAATGAGTCAATGGATTGTTTTTCAGTGAGTATATTCAGTTTTTGTTAGAAGAGATAACAGTTTACCTTTACTTTCCCTTTTCTCATTTTAGGAAAAATACACAATATAATTTTAAATAACTAGGAAAAAGGGAAATCAGTGGAGGATGTTTGTGAGCACAAAGTTTCTGAGGTAGTAAAATGTTTTCTGCTAACATGGTTTTGGTTATTTTATAATAAAGTTGCTTTGTTTAAAACAAAAACAACCGTTTTTACAGCAATTATTTTTCTGTGAAAATCTATTTACTCTTTTCTTTTAGTTTCTGAGCCAAATGAATGACTATGTATTGAATTCCTTTTCATATTATTACCTTCATGGTGTTAGCTTTAAGGGACTTTTTAACTCTAAAGGCTAAACAGGTTTACTGTTTGTGTAGTGTGGCAGTATTCTTGGAAGAGAGCTTTGACAGAGACATTACTGCAGTGCATTTGAATCCTACAGTCTTGCTACTCCTTACTGGAAAAACTGGTTTTAAAAGTCTTCAGCTTTTTAATTCTCGCTCAGTCTAGAAACTCTGGTTTCTAGACTTAGCGAGACTACCCAGGTGTTTATTTGGCAACACTTGAATAACTTATTCTCTTTACTTTCTGCATTTCTGAATTTAAGATCTAAAAATAAATGTATTTCTCAGGCCATTTTGACTTAAAATTTCTACCTGCTGTCAAAACTCACCGAATATAAACACCACAGTGCTGATGAGAGGGAGGAGGCTCATAGCCGTTCCCTGGCTGGCCTGTAACATGCTCCCCAGCTCAGTGTGGGAGCTATAGGCGGGAGTTGTAATGTTTATAGCCGGACAAGGAGTGGTGTGGGAGATCATGGTTAGAGTCAGAGAGGACAGAAACATCAGCATGCTTGAAGTGTACAGCAGGGCTTTACGTCCTGCCTTGTCCATCAGACTGGCCGCCACAGCAACAGAGAGGAGACGGACCGCGCCCACAATGGCAGCGTCGTACCTCAAAGAGAGAAAGACAGGAAGCTGCTTTTAGTCGACATAACCCAAGCAAGTCATACAATTCAACAAAAGATCGGAGAAGCGATTCGCTTTTGTAGGATGTCCAACCTGGCCTCCAGTGTGACGTTGCTCTTGGCAAATATGGGCTCCAGGTATACAAGAATTGGCGTGATTCCGGTCATTTGTTGCAGGAAACGCATCACAACTGAGATCAGGATTGGCTTGTAATAGATGGGCGAGGCCAGTTGAGCCCAGGTGATTTTAACCTGTGTATTAATGCTGTGCTGGAGCAACAAAACAAAGCAAATATTCAATTATTCACAATGAAAATATTGAATTTTCACTGATGTATTTAAAAACAACACAATTTTCATGTTCCTCTGCTCTACCTGTATGGCACTGATCTCTATGTTAGTGTTGTAGTTGCTGCCTCTCAGCCAGCGGAGAACTTTTTCTGCTTTCTGCACTTGGCCAAGGGAGAGGAGTCTCCTGGGGGAGGAGGGCATGAACGCCAGCAGAACAACCATAATCACTGCTGGCACGGACCCTGCCACCGCCAGCCAGCGCCATGGGACCACCAGACCTATACATCATGGGGTAACACAAACAAGGCATGCGGTAGAACAAAAGCACATAGCTGACATGCCCTCTTGACATGTCAATGACATCGCTGTGTCACTCAGCAAAGAGAGAACAAAAATGCAGGTTGCCTGACCTGCTTCACATGTGAAACATGCTACTCTTTTTAGCATCATCCCTTTACTGCTCTTTAGCAAAAATCCCTTAGTGTGTTAATGAGGGTAAAAATATATATTACCAAGGGCATAGAGTGTCAGGGTCCCAAACACAGCTGTGATCTGGGGGCAGGAGCCCAGAGCCCCTCTCACTTTTTTGTGGGAAATCTCAGAGATATAAACCTGTGGAATAAGCAGACAAAAAAATCTTATATAGTTATATAGTTAGTTTATAGATATAGAAAATGTTTTTGTTTTTAAAAAAATGGTTTGTAGGTAAAAGTTATGGCCAAGTGTGGTTGACTTCTTAGGATGCTCTGCACCTTGGTTTGGATATTTTCTGGGTATAAGACTGAGCATTATGTGTCACTGGGGGAAGGAAGAACCATGTTTCTCTACTGGATCTGTGACCCAAAGGGAAACCAAAGAGAAGGATTGGATCAAAGTACATAACTCACAGGAATTGATGCAGCAGTCATCCCGCCTGCAACACCAGTAAGGAACCGGCCTGTGTGGAGCATCCACAGGTTTACAGCTCCTCCCATCAGCATGTACCTGAAAGACACGTGTTAGGTACTATGTTACTAAACCTTTAACTTTTTAATCTGATGCAGACATTAAAACATCTATCACATTTAAGGTTTGAAATATTCCATTTTGTGTAAGTCATAACAGTATCGCAGCAGGCTGAAAAGCAGTCAGGAGAAGTAGAAACATTTCAATATTTAATTGTAATTGTCAGATTTAGGAAGAATAAAAATGTATGATCAGCAAAAGAATGACTGAGCATTGAGATTGTTTCATTTCTTAGTATTTCTTTTCTGACCTATTGTTTGTTTTTGGGCTGACACAGAGAAATACCCAGCCTGATGCTACTGACTGGATGAAAATCCAGTTTCACTATTATATTAAAACCATATAATTTAACTTTCAAGTTTAAAAAGTCTTAAAAATTTTTTCTTAGGTCTTTGATTTCCATTCTGCAAATCTATTCGTTATATCCACACATATAACCTTAGAACTAAACAAGCAAAACAATTTTTTTTTCATATACATTTAAATGTATGCAAAATCCGACAATTCTTTTGTATTTCTGTTTCTTTCTGTAAGTCTCCTTCTGTCTCTTCAAACCACAGAACCACACTGAGTCTGGTTCTGCTGGAGGTTTCTTTCTGTCAAAAGGGAGTTTTCCTCTCCACTGTCGCTAAAAGCATGCTTGGTTCACTGAAAAAAATAATGCAATCACTTTTGGCATTTATTTAATCATATTTAGTTACTTTAACACAATTTTTTTATGTCCTGTCCTGCTAACATAAAACAATTATGTTAAAGTAACTAAATATGACTAAGTCAATGCCAAAGACGGTTGCATTATTTTTTTAGTGTTAGGATTGCCTTCAAGTCAAGGAGTCGATGCAATCAGCTGACCTTCTTTAGATAGAAAACGTTAAATCAGTCTGACTGTATGATCTGGTTGAATTGTCTCTGTAAAGTGTGTTGTGAATTGACACTACCGGTATATAAATGAGCTGAAATGAAATCTTATATAGGATTTTATAATTGTTTTGTTTTGTTTATTTAAAAAGGGAAAGAGTGCACTGATAAAAATCATATGATAATTTGTATTAATATAATTTCATTAAATGTAAATATAAGGCATGGCTGAACCTAGCAAGAAACTGCTTTGGAATAAGAAGAGTTTAATTAAAATGAATAATTTTCTGCATGTGATTTTTCAATTAAATTTAAGATCTTATATAAATAGAGATCTGTTTAGTTTTTCACATTTATGAAGCCATTGCATTGTTTCATTTTCTTTAATTAGGTGGAATATAATTTCCAAATTTAAGTATTAAGTTTAATCTCAGTGAGAATCATGCATTGTCTCCTAACATAAACATATAAGGGCTACGGTTTGCACCATGACATAACGTTGATATTAATAAGGTTTTTTTGTTTTTAAGTATTTTTGATATGTTCAGCTTTAAAAAAATCTGCTAAGTCAGGACATAACATTTGCCATAACATATCTGTCAACCTCCATTTAACTTCATCTTGTTGGTTAAATTATGATCGTATCATCTGCATACATTGTAATATCACACTGTCCACATACAGCGAAAAAGATAATAAATTAGATGTAAAATTTCTAGTTTCAACTGCTTGTGAAAAAAATACATGGATCATTGTAACAGTGAAAGAAAGTCTGTAGGCTGTTTGAGCAAAGGAGTTTGTCTATCAGGATTACTGTCAAATTCCTTCAGTATATGAACAACAACAAATAATTAGGGGAAAGGTACTTAGCAGTGCAATGTTAAGAGTCTGTGGAAAGTTGGGAATAACTGAGGACCTTGTTTTTTCCCTCATGATTATGTCTGTTCCATAAAATTCTGCAACCCCTAAAAATAAATCAGAAAACGTTTGCAGATCTGCATTGCTGGGAATGCACTTTTTGTTTTAGAATTTTCATTTTCAAATCAGAATTATTTATACATTTATGATATTCATCCACTTATGTAAGCATTGATTTAGGGTTGGGTGATGTAAACATTTGGTCAAAAGGTTTATTTTTTCCTGTTTAATCCAAAACGATGGTTTATGGTGAGACCCACCCAGCAGTGGAGGGCACCGCCGACATCATGATGCTCATCTTCCTTCCAATCAGGTCGTTCAGGAACATAGCCCCGAGGCCCCCAGCTGCTGCACCCAGAGAGTAGATGGACCCGAACCAGGCAGCCTGGTTGGTGTCCATCCTGAGCTGAGGGTCCACATCAGGACCTTTAAATCTTGGGAGGACGGGGGATGAGTAGACCAGGGAGTAACCAAAGTTGAAGTTTCCCAGAACAGCAGAGAACACAGCAAGATACAGCCTGGCATTACTGATCTGTAACAACATCAGAGAGAGGAGATTAAAAACCATTAGAATGAAACATTATATGGGTTTAGGCTAATCTGAAACCACTACTGCTTTTGCCATCACCAGGTTTATTAAACTGTATTTTATTTTTTCCCATTAATCAAAGTAATGTCTATTATATTATATAAGTATAAAAAGCCAAGTCAGTCCAATGCATGTGTTTAAGCTTAGTTAGAACCGTTGAAAACATGTAAAGCTATACAAGTTACTTTTTCACATGACCTAAAAAACAACTACTGATCTGTGAAAAAACACACGCTTAATTCTGTCTGCACACACTCATTAGGAACCTGTTCAATTTAATACTACACTACAGTATATTGCATGATATTCAGACTCCTTACTTTTAATAGTTTTTTTTTTGTCGAATGCACAAATTATAATGTATCTGCTAAAGCTTTTAATGTGAAAGAGAAACAGAAAGTGGTATGGAAATGTTAGAGGGTTTTCAAATTCTTTAACAAGTTACAAACTGAAAAGTGTGGTGTGCATCAACCCCTCACTTAAAACCTGGTACAAGAAAGCTGCCTAAGAAAGTAAGAAATCATATTTGCTCTGTTATAAAAACAGGTAGGAACCCATCAGGCATGTGGAAGATTGTAATCTATTCTAGATGCAGGTATCCAGACAAACATGCACAAACAAACTTGAAACCTTAATATTCAGAGATGCTCTTGATCTAAATACAGTATGTGCATGAATGTCATTCGTCACGATTTACATATCTATAAAGACTTTTCCAGCTTTTATTTGAACAAAAAATGTTCATCAACAACTGACTGAAGGGAAACTGAGCAGACAGTGTCAATATTTTTCTTTCCAGTTTGCAACTACCCAGAGGAAAATTGTACTGCTCAATGTTTGGTCTTCTAGATCATGAGACATATTTGAATTTCTTATCTCAGCATCGATTAAATTTCAGTTTTGGCTCAAAAGTTTCTTGTGTGCCCCTCCTAAAATTCACTTGGAGAAATATGGTGAAGAGTCATAAGTTCAGATATTTTGCAAAACTTGAATTCACACATTCACACCCATATCGTAATCACAGCTGCCCTGGAGCTAACAAACAGAAGCAAATCTGCCATACACATATAGTCACTTGCCCAAGGACACATCAATATTGAAAGCTGGGGTTTGAACCCACAACCTTCTGGTTTAAGGGCAACTGTTCCTGTCAAAAAAACGAGTAATAGTGAGACAAAAAGGTGGATATGGAAATTTAGAGAGTGTCTCCACTTTGTTGAACAAAATTCATCCAAAAATGGATATATCTCTTTACAGCCAGGAATTAATGAAAATATGACACATAAATTATTCAAATCTTCTTTTGCCTTATAATCCTTTGTTATGGTCATGCCAAAATATTTAATTTCTTCTTCCAGTGGGATTGCATTTAAGGTTCTCTACTGATAATCGTGTATTCTTTTAAGTCTTCCCCCAAAATAAGTATGAAAATTTAAAGTAACACCATCTTGACCAGGTGATTTGCCTATTGACATTTGTTTTACAGCAACATCTAACTCTTCTATTTGCATAACAGTGTTTAATGTTTTCCAAAAAGGATATTGAAGCTGTGATGAGACAAGATTTAGGTCATAGAGAAAGATCTCTGATTTCTTTGCTCGGGATCACAAGGAAACACAAAAGATGAGGAAGACTGAGAATTATATTTGAGCCTGATGAGATCTTGAAAGGAGACTAAACCAAGTTCTAGTACATTTTAATGTTCCAAAAGAAAAGCTGAGACACAGGAGAAATAAACCTAATTCTCATTTTGGTGCCACACATTAAACATCAGAATTCAGAATATGGAACGTGTTTCAAAGTAATCTAACTCAGAAGTTGATGGGTTAATTGTGTATTTGGAGCCTGACATTTCTGCAACGGTCAAACAAGAGTTGTAGAATTTATACAGAAAATGAGGAAGTTTGAATCAGTTAGAGATTAAATTTAACAGCCGGAAGATCTAAACAACTTGTTTCCCACCTGTGAGTCTGATGATGCAGTTCTCTTGAGCAGCGGCGTATTCTCTTCCATGTTTCTCTGGACGGCTGTGAAGCACCTCGATAACTACAAAGGTAACAGTTGGATTTCTGTGGTCTGTTTCAGGATTTGTAACCTTAACTTCCTGTGAGGGAGATTAACTATTGCATTACTTTATAAAACTATGCAGAACTTCCAAGGAAGCACAGAAAATCCCTCTAGTGCATCTGAAACCCAATGACAGTCCATTCTCCAAGAAAAGACTAGAGCGCCAAATAACAAAAAATCATATCTACCTCCTCCAAAGCTTTGGATCGTTTCTTTGTGGTCAGAGAGCAGGTCATGCATTTCCAAAATGACTCTAACAAACCATATCAGACAGTGAGAGACCACAACTATTCAAAACAAAACTGAAAGTTATATTCCAGTTTGTAATAGTGAACTTAAAGAGTGCCAGCATCAACTTCTGCTTTTCAAATGCAAATAAGGCCACCTCAGTACACGCAGGTCATAACCGGGAAGCAGAGGGGTTGGATCAACTATCCTAGATTGGGCCATTCAGAAAGAAAGCAGAAGAAGATGAGACCATCCTCCCTAAACTCAATGAGGGGGAACAAGGAAAGTACATGCTGTTTCCACCTCAGCCCAAATCTCATCAGGGTTATGACCACAATAGAGAACTGACCCTGAGAGCTTTGCACAATTCTTTTCAAATTTTTTTACAATGTTGCCAGGATGGAACTCCCAAACTTGGAGATTAGAGGGACAGGTTATTAAAGCCTGCAGTGTTTTGCACCCTTATCAGCATTTTTTTAATAATAGTAATAAAAAATCTAAACTCAGTCAGCCTGAATAAAGAGATGCAACAGTGATTTTTAATTTTTTTATGTTTTGCCACAGTTTGTCAGTTGGCTTCAGACCTATTCTTTCTTCCAAAACATAAATGTGATGCTCCATTTTTTCTCTTGGTGTATAATTGAGCTCTGAACTCTGCTAGAAGATAAAGACTTAGGATGTGTCCGAATGTCCGCCCTAATCACAACGCCATTTTAGATGAATGTCCTATGAATATATGAATGTCAAGTGGATGAATAAGTAGTGGACTCAAAATTTCCCACAATGCACCTTAAAAAGTAGTGATCATCTTCGGTCACTAGATGAGCAGATATATCCCGGAATACTTTGCAAGGAGAACTCTACTCCCAAAGCATCTTGGGATTTGTTTTCACAGCTGCCCGCCATCGCCATAGGCTGTGACAAATAACAAAGATGGTGCAAAAAGTAGTAGTGATTCTTTGTCCGAATGGTCAGTTAACTGAGTTCACTATAAAGTCCACTATGTAGTCACCACTCTATATAGTGATTGAGGGAATCAGGAGTTAGGGAGGATGTTTGGACACAGCCTTAGAGACTTAGACTTAGACTAACTTTATTGTCATCTTGTATACACAGAGTGTATACAAAATAAAATGTCGATGCATACAGCTTTTAAACAATGAATGAGCAGCTTACAACTGTGAAATGAATATTACCATTTAAAAAGTTCAGCAGTGATCAGAATTTAAATAGTGTAGGAGAAAAGGAAAACCAGTTTAAAGACATGGTGCAGAAGGCATTTATATGGAAAGGTTTAGTGCAGTGCAAAAATCAAAAATCAGCCACATTGGTTGTGCAAATATGATGTTTTCAAGTGTGATGCAGAGACTTGATTAGAGTTTCAACTGTTCAAAAGTCTTATGGCAGCGGGGAAGAAGCTGTTGCAGAACCTGCTGGTCCTGCATCGAATGCTGTTAAGCTTCTTCACAGAGGGCAGCAGGGAGAACAGGTCCATGGTGGGGGTGTGAGGGGTCATTTATGGCTCGGGACACGCAGCGCTGGGATGAAATGTCTTTGTAGAGAGAAAAGAAGCCCTGATGATCCCCCACACCAGTGAGACAGCTGGTCAGAACTCTCTCTATGGTGCTTCTGTAGAAGGTGGTGAGGATAGTTGGGGCAGGTGGGCTCTCCTCATCCTCTGCAGGAAGTACAAGCCCTTTTGACCAGAGAGGTGGTGTTTACAGTCCAGGTCAAGTTGTCTATGATGTGCACCTTCAGCAGTGGAGTGTGGTGAGGCCGATTCTTCCTGAATTTGATGATGAATTCCTTTGTTTTCTCCAAGTTCAGGATCAGGCTATTATCTCTGAATCAGCCCACCAGCTGCTCCGCCTCCTCTCTGTAATCCTGGCCGTTGTCGTCTCTGATGAGGCCCACAACCTTGGGGTCATCTGCAAACTTCATGATGTGAGTGGTGGTAAACCTTGAGGCGCAGTCATGTGTCATCAGAGTTAACAGCAGGAGGCTGTTAACAGCCCTGAGGGGAGCTAGTGCTTAGGGTGATGATGTCAGAGGTGTTCTGTCCGACCCGGACTGACTGAGGTCTGTTTGTGAGGAAGTCTAGCAGCCAATTGCAGAGGGGTGGATTGAAGCCCAGCTGTTCCAGTTTGCCCATCAGATGCTGTGGGATGATGGTGTTGAAAGTTGAACTGAAGTGCGAGAACAGCATCCGCACATGGGTGTTCTTCTCCTCCAGGTGTGCAAGGCTCAGGTGAACAGATAGCGTCCCCAGTGGAGCGGTTTCGTCGGTATGCAAACTGTGACCCAGTCTCAAGTCTTCTGCAGCCTCAATAAGGCTTTATTTTTGGGTTTAAGGGAAACATTGATAGATTTAAAAACAGTCTTGTTTTCAACTCTGTCAATTTCCCTGTATGTGCTGAAGAAAGACAACCCCACAGCATGATGCTGCCACCACCATGTTTCACAGGTTATGAGTGTGTGCATTGTTTTTTTTTTTTTTCTCTATCAAAACATGCATGGCTTTCCTAAAAAAGAAAAAGTAATCTTAATTTCTCAAAGGTTTATTTTCATCCAAACACAGAATTTTGATTACTTTTGGAATACTGATTTGACTGACTCTTCATCCTGCATAATGCATGACTCATTTTACTGAGGGTAGCACACTTTTTAGCTCCAGCTAAATATTTTCTGGGGTTTTTATTCGTTGTTGAAGTTAAACTAAGGTGCATTTGATAGAGAATATTCACATAATTTTAATCAGTCTCTTGGTAGGAGGTTACTAATTAACATATATGCATTTTGTAATCCAAAAAAACCCCCCAAAATGAAGTCTGTTATTCTGATGCATGTAATGGTCTATTTATAGATTTACTGGAGTTTTTATCAAAAAGGAATCAAACACAAGGGCCCGTCATAGTCATGTAATTACTCACATATTACATAGTCATGTAATATGGGAGTTTACTGTTTTGGGAGTTTGCAATGATTTTTTTTTTTTTCATGATGATTAGATTCAAACACCTGAAACAGTGTAAAAGAGTAAAATGGGTTAAATTTTAAAAACCACAAAGGTATAACATGCAAAAGGTGATGAATATAGGGGTAAATTATTAATACATCATCAAATCCAGGCACTCTTTTCGGAAAGATAGTAAGGTATTTACAAACAAAAATGGGAAATTAGAGCTTGTTAACTGTTTTTCAATTGTTTAATCTTAAATTTAGAATATATATAAACTGTATTTATTGTAATCCAGCTAAATAATCCCAATTTAAGGTGAGCTAGTATTGCTAAAACAATAAAATAAAATAAAAAAATCCCAGACTGTGTCATACAATCTTTTCAAACATGACAACATATGTCATATTTCCTAAATTTTCTACATTAGGTAATATAAACTGCCAAGTGGTCGATTTCCTTTTTGTTCCCCTTTTGTGAGGCACTGATGTGATTGTGTCATACATTGTTCCTCAAGATGTTCATAAAATGTCATTTTCTAACCACTGTCATTATTTTCTACCACATGTAGCCTACTATATAATCAATTTAAATCATTTTCACTAATAGGTGTTTTTGATGTAAAAAAATAACAGCCCTCTTTTTCTTATTGCTGAAGATGGGATTTACATAAACAGCCTGATCAAATGGTAATCTTAAATCTTCAAAAATAAGATTGTATAGAAAAAAAATGGTTAAGATATCAACACATTCTGGAGAGAAAATGAATCAGAATTCTGAGAAAAAAAGTCAGAATTCTGATAAAAAAGTCAGTAATCTGAGAAAAAAGTAAGAATTCTGAGACTAAAGTAAAAATTCGGAGGAAAAAAAGTCAGGAATCCGAGAAAAAAAATCAGAATTCTTAGATTAAAGTCAGAATTCTGAGATTAAAGTAAGAATTCTGAGAAAAAAAATCAGAAATCTGAGAAAAAAGTCGGAATTCTGAGATAAAGGTCAGAATTCTGAGATTATAGTCAGAAGTCTGACTTTTTTCCCATATTAAACTGAAATAAATTTAAGAGATCAGTTAAGTTTTTTTTTTTGTTTTTTTTTTTCAGAGGCCCTAATCCTCTTCTGTAATCGGTCCTTCATATAACGTGTAAGAAAAAATAAAAACTTTTGCTTTGGTAGATGTAGGGAAACCGCTTCATATTTTATAAAAATACATTTCCCAGCATGCAACGCAAAAAAACATGTATTTTTGGCCCTCCGCGCGATCCTTACAAAGGGTCACGAGTCACAGGAGTGATCATGAGAAGACGGAAAAGTGGCAGCTAGCCCCGACAGGAGCTGCAGTTAGTCAGAAGAAACAAAGAAAAACATCTTTTTAGATTCCAACTGAGAAGTTTCGAGAATCCAACATGGCTAACATCACCAAGAAAGTGTCCTGGTCCAGCCGGTGCGACGAGTTCGGGGCGGTCGGGGAGGAGACCCCGCTGCTGAACGGCTCAGACCAAGCCAGACCCCTCAGACAGGTACAGCTGCTCCCACTGAGCTAGATCAGGTGCAGAGTCATGTGTTAAAAAGCACTTTAAGGTTCTGCTGGATCATCTTTGACCTGCTGCATGGGGAAACTGACTGTATGCCTGCTGGAAAGTGAATGCATAAAGATAATAGAATTTTCTGTTATGGCATTGGTTGCATTTTGGTCCAAGAATAACCAACAACAATCAGAATGAAGCTAATTAAGTAACTTTTTGACTTTGATTTAGACATCAATAAAATGATCATACTATAGGATTTAAAAATGTGTCCCTAGCAAAATTATCAAAGAGAGGAAATAGTTGTGCACAGAAAAAAAATAATTAAATTCAGGCTTTTGGACACATTTTATAGTAACACTGATAATAAATCTATTAAATGTTTACCTTTATTTGGTCTGATGTATTCAGAGAGGTACAGTAATGTTAATACACTTTAAAACCACAGAAAACATGTTAGAAACATTTGTAGTTTAATCACATAAGTAAATGATATCAGAGAATATTTTATGAACTGATGATAATTAAAGAAATGTTATACCCTGGCCTGCAGAATAATGAGAACTGATGAGGTCATATAAAAGGCTGGGTGCTCAGAGAGTGCTGATGGAAAGTTAAGTGGAAGGAGAAAGCATTCGGAGGAGGAGTGGTGGTCAGCTTATTGCCAGCAGGACTTTGATCCTGACCACATAAGTAATAGTACAGATACCTGGCAAAGTTTAACCCTATAGAGACTCATGAAAGATCGGGACAGTAGAACCACCATTGCTGATGACCTTCAGGTTGCTTTCAAAGCAACTTCAGCTTCTTTAACATTTGAGCAACAAATGCATATTGAATAATTTTTAGAAGGATGGCATTTCCTCTGATTAAAATTCCCTTTTTGCACATTTCCTGCAACATATTTTCCTTCCACTCAAAATTCTATGAGCATGCATGGTTATGTCCTTGTGCACATTCAGCTTCTTCATTGTTGGAGGGTTCAGTAACTGTTTGCTTTTATCACTTTGTTTAATGAATATGTATAATACATGGTTTTAAATTTTCAGAATTGAGATACTGAAATAGGTTCCACCTTTTCATTAAATTCCAAGTCACTAAAATACACCTATATGTTGTCACATCAGTCTTCCAACTCCCACACAAAGCCCTCCATCTTTCTTTTACTGTATGTGGTGTGTGTAGATGTCAAGTGGAAGCACTGTATTTCAGATAGGCAGACTCAGCACGGTGGATTTGGAAGAGGAGATAATCGCCGAGGAGGTAAAGTCTGAGATCCGGTCGCCATTACTTTTTCCTTTCTTGTGTCTGTAGCTCTCATCATTCAGGTCCTGGCTTCACCATTACACTTTCAGATTAAACTGATTCAGCCTCGGATAAAGAAAGGATGTCATTTTGAAAAATTCTCGTTTGTCTCGGCTGCTTTCCTCTGGATCGGTTCGGACGCTAATCTGGAACAGCTGACACAGAGGCGGCCACCAGGGACGGATGAGTCATCAAGTGTGCTTGAAGGGCACGTGTCTGTTGGTTTCCACTGTCGAGCTTTGCAAATAATGAATTAATGCGAAGCATGCGTCTCCTAATGTGACCATCCACAGGTCTCGTGCTGAAAAAGCAGGAAATAATCCCAAATTTAAATCAAATTCTTGAACATAAAGCTTTCGAATTGAAGCAGTGCAGCTAGCAAGGCCTCCGTATGTAAAGTCAATTAAACTCACCTTTGATTAAGGTTTGCTGTTGCCTGTATTGTTAAAATCCTTCAGAAATCACATCAGAAGGCCAGTCTTTTACGTCCAGTTGTGTTTATTTTTGTGTCTTAACATATAAAAGGTACTTTAAGGGTAGGGGTCTAATGCATGTTACTCTTTAGACCCTCAACAATGGCTCTTTATTGCTTTGACTAAAAATCATGAAGACTCCACTAGTTTTTTTGTATAACCGATATACCAACAAATTAATGTTTGAGCATTTTCTCTATTCACTATTTGCATTGAATTTTCCCCAATATTGACTCTAGTTATAACAGAAATAACTATATATATATATATAGATTTTTTTAAGTGGAAAACTTTTTTTTTAATATAAAGATATTTGTTTAAAAGTCCATAGTTATCTTTTTCTTTTAAAGTTCATAAAATGTTTTCAGCTTGAATCGCATTTGTTTTGCTGGACTGAAAATGTTTGCTTTAACTTACATTATAAATTGACACTAATTATCACGGGGATGTATTTGTTTGTCTTGAAGTAGAAATTGTTTTTTTAGATATTTTTTAAAACATAATTTACCAAAAAATATCAGCACTCCATTGAAAATGTATTTAATCTCTTTTCTTAAGTTCTCTCCTTTATTTTAAGACCTAAAATTAGAAATTGCGCGTTACTCTTTTAAAAAGGACAAATCTGCTAGATTGATATTTAATTAATACAAGTTATGTTTATCTTAAAAAAAAAAAAAAAAAAAAAAAAAGTCATGCGATGTTTGTGGCGCTTAATGAGTTTTATGAGCTGGACTGAGATCAAAAATGTTTTTTCGGATTGTAACGGTTGCAGAGCACTCATTTAGAGCGTACTGATAATACAGCAACAGTGAAGGTGATGGATGTGAGGCAGACTTCACATAATATTTCCTCTGGAACTATTCTAATATTTGTATTCATTACATTAAAATGATAACGGCTAAAGTGCTTTATCAATGGGAGGACTTAAAATCACTTCTCACTGGATTGTAATTCGCCCGCAAATAAGGTTTTAAAAGTGTTGCTTATTTAGCCTTAGCGTTATCTTTTGAAAGTGATGCTCTCTCTCTCCCCGTTTAGCAGCCTGAATGGACCACAGCCATGCTTTCTTTAGCTTGAGTCAAAGTTTTCTGGCTGAAATTCATTTTACATATTAAGGAATTTTTTTTTATTTTTTTTCCTCTGTGAAGAATTTATCCTAGGATGGGTTGATTCTAAATTAGGACGCGTTCAATGTTTTGCATTTTTTTCTTCAGTTTTTGTCTTAGAGTAAAACTCTTTTTCTTGTCATTCATAATCAGTTTTTATTTGGATTTTCTCCCGTTCTTATCCAGCTGATGGACTCAACCTCTAGCTAAAAGTTCGAACACTGTGATCGCTCAAAATTTTGTTGAATCTTGTTCATGTTATGATGTCATCGACCAAAATAAAAGCACCCTATAGAATTAAAAGCCATCCTCTGGGCATTTTACCATTGTTAGTTTTTTACAAAGTTTATTTAAACTTGAACAATACATTGTTTGTATTGTTTAATTACATTGATGGGTTTATGTGTGTAACCACACTCTAACAAGGAGTTAACTGATTCCAATAAATCACAGGTCTCGTTAATAAAGACTTCCATTAAAAAGCGTTTAGTAGGGGACGGGCTGAGATAAATTCATTCTTTATTCATTCTTAGATGCTGCTCAGTTTTCTCTGCCTGAATGTGACTCCAAGCATGTGATTTGCTTCCCTTTGAATGTAAAGTTCTGTTTTTCTTTGCCGTCTCTGTGAATGAAACCTTTAACCCGTCGTTGCAGCTTGCTCGCTCCTCCGACGGGTTAAAGACGGTTCTGCATGTTAACGTTAAATGTGACTTGCATGTTCGCATGCATGCAGGGGTCATTTAATAAACCAGCATTTCCTCCGCTTAGTTATCAAAACTTGCACATGGAAGTCCATGTCTGACTAAAATCTTCGGCTGCATAGCTTTTATGTTGGAAAGACTTTTCAACCCGAACCTGCTGGAGAAAAATGCTGCTTTCTGCAGAATCATTGCATTCATCATCAGCTTCATAACTGATCCGCTGCATTTACTGCATCTATTAAATAGTGACTTCTAATGTAGAACTGTGTCTCTTGTCTCCCTGCTCTCTTGAGTTTTCTCCTGTGTAGAATATTAGATGTCAGTATTTCAGCTCCTGTTTCCTTACATGCCTTCATTCGGAGGCAGGGGCTCAGCGTCTGTGTGATGATGTCTTGTTTTTCATTTCTGTTCTACAGGATTCAGCGAGCGGGCGACCCAAAGAGATTGCTCACAATGAGAAGCTGCTGTCTCTTAAATTTGAGGTAAAACAAGATGCCAAAAACGTTCCCCTAGTCTGATGATTTGAACTTTATGACCTGCATGTAGATTGCTGTAAAGGCAGGGAACCTACACTGAATATCACTCTGAAGATGCTATTGACCCATTGAAACATGGCGTAGGCAGGGTCATGCTGTGGGGGTGCTTTATTCAGCAGAGATTGGAAACTGCTAATAGTTAGTGGATGGAGCGAGGTATAAAGCCAGTTTTAAAGAGAATCTGTCAGAAGAAGCAGCGGTCGTAAGACAGGGTGGAGGTTCAACTTCAGAAGAGAAACCTAGAACCAGGGACTTGGTTCGTTTAAAGCCTATTTATGTCTCTGGAAGTCCAGATTATGTGGAAACATGTGAAACTTTAATGTTTGATGTGCTTAGACTTGATCTAATCTTAGGTGGGTTAATGCCTTTACAGCAGGAATTCATTAAGCACAAATACTTGCAGGTATAAATGCATGGAAAGGAGTGGTATATTTACAATTGCACTGTTATAATTCAGGTTTCTCAATTCTTACCTCTACCTTTTATGAAAAATCGGGGTTTGTAAGTGCTGTGCAACTAAACAGTGTACTATTAGTTTACTGAGGAGAAATGGAGCAATTTATGCATGATTGTTGGATTAATTTATAGGGTGAAATTTGGGTTCATATGTTTTTTTTTGTTCTCTCTTCCAGAGTCTGGACTATGATAACATTGAAAACCAGCTGTTTCTGGAGGAAGAGCGGAGGATGAGCTTCTTGGTGAGTGCAGGATATTTCCCTAGGCTTGTTGTTTGTTTTTTTTTACTTCTCCTCTAAATGTGGTTCTCCTTCTTTGTCTCTTTCTGTTTTGTGGTCTTCAGGCTTTCCGTTGTCTGGAGATCAGTCGCTGGGTGATCTGCGGCCTGATAGGCTTCCTGACAGGACTGATCGCTTGCTTTATAGACATCGTGGTGGAGCAGCTGGCTGGAATCAAATACAAAGTCATTAAAGAGAGTATCCTAATATAATTATACTTTTTTTTTGTGTCAGCATCTTTGTGGTTAAAGTTGAGTAATATTTAGGTTTTAAGCTTAGGGAAGTAGTTGAAGGAAGAAGTAAAAAAAAAAGCTTATATTTTAATGAGTAACCTTTTTTATTTACCGCAATTTTTTCCCCCGTTCTGCTTTAGTTTTTTATTCATGGTCTATTTTATTATAAATGTTAGTTTTAAGCCCTTCTTTTAGTGCTCTGAGTTCTGTCTTCCCGCTTTTATCCCTTTTACTCTGTTTAGCTGATTTAAGTTTTCCTTCATTCAGAACCTTTACAGATATTGTAAGGTTTACAGAAGCAGGTGGACTGTCCATCTCCCTCATCCTCTGGGCTGTCCTCAACTCTTCCTTTGTCATGCTGGGAGCCATCATGGTCGCTTTCTTTGAGGTATGCTGGTGAAGATTCTCAGTCATCCACGTCATAGTCATTCCAAAAACGTTAAGAATATCAAAAAAACAAACCACTGGAGTTTGTTTTCCAAGTTTGAAGATGTTTTGCTTCCCATCCAGGAAGATGTTTCAATTCTAAATGTCTTGATTAGCGTTTGAGTTCCAAGGTTTATAGATTAGTTTAGAGTAGTCCTGCATAACCTGCTTTAAATATTTCTATAATATTCTAGAAACCAAAATATGTGATGAAAGACGGACCTGTTCAAAGATGGCTTCTCTAAATGTTATCCTGTTTGCATTAATTCATGTCCTCCTGCAGCCCATCGCAGCTGGAAGTGGGATTCCTCAGATAAAATGTTACCTAAATGGAGTGAAGATTCCCAGGGTGGTGCGGCTAAAGGTATCATCTCCTAAAGCCTTCGCTGCGTTTTATTGGTTAAACAAACAGCAGCCTTTCGTATTAATGTTTTTTTTTTGGGTGGGGGTCCACAGACTTTGGTGATAAAGGTGTGCGGTGTAATCTGCTCCGTGGTCGGGGGTCTGGCTGTAGGGAAGGTAAACGACTTTAAAGTGTTTTTCATTTTTTTATATTTATAATGTGTATTATTTTAAATAATATAGTTAAAGTCAAGTAATGTGATGCGAGCATTCTGCTTCATGTAAGCTGCTGGGAGAACCTTAGACTGTTAACCTGGAGGAAAATATTGCATTGACATTGCATCATGGTATAAAAAAAAAAACAAAAAAAAAAACAAGGATCATACATGTATAACAGATGGAATATAGAGTTACACAGGAAAATTAAAAATGAATCATTCTGTTTCTGATTTTAGTAAAAAAAAAAAAAATCCAATATTTATGGTTTTTATTCTTTGTTTGTCACTTCTTTTATACACTAAGCTAATTGGAGCTCCTGAAACTGGCTTTTTGCTGCATGTTACGCTCTTAAAATCAGGTCATCCTGGTTTAGTAATCCACCACTGCCTTCATCATCTCTAGAAAGTTTATTTTTCATTATTTTTTAGCTAAATATTAAATTAAAAGGCTGACTTAACCAAAATTACAATGTAGTTTTTGGCAACTTTTAAAATATATACAGCCTTTTAATAGAAAAATTATAGATATTTTATTAAAAGAAATTAATATTATTTATTTATAATAAAAAAGAAAATATTTTGTAGCATTTCATGGGGATTCATTGATATTCATTTTTAAATACCCGTATTTTCACGACCATAAGGCGCACCGGACTAAAAGGCGCACTCTCAGTTATGTGTCCCATTTCTGTATTTAACACACACATAAGGCGCACCGGACTATAGGGCGCGTTTTTTATATACAGGTACATGTCCTCTACTACCTTTAAATACCTCTACTGCGTATTTAAAAATACAGCGGGGGCAAAACTGAGTATGACTGTGCTTTATTCATGTATTTATTACAAAGTATTAATCAAACCTGGCAGCTGGCCGTGAGACAGACACATCGCAGATGACACAGCGCTGTGATCACTCCTAAATTAACTTAAAATCCTGAAACCTGCCGACGGAATATGTTCGCTTTTATTACCGGTATCCTGGTGCCTGCAGCTAAAATTATTTAGATGAAAAACACCTGCCAGCCGCCGCGGTGAACGAAAGGATTTCTCCTGTCGGCGCACCGCTGGTATGTGGGGGTATGAGCGCCTCCGACAGAAATAGATAATCTGGATGAACTGACTGCAATTATTAAGTTTTCAGGTGGCCTTTCTCACTTAAAAACATATTAAAACTACTTTATTCCCACTGATCACAGCAAATATAGCTGCAAGATTTAGATTATTTAGATGAAAAAACACCTGCCAGCCACCGCGCTGAAGAGGAGGAGACGCGCCCACAGGCTGCTGTTGAATTAAGTTTTCAGTTAGAAAAATAGAGCGGAAGCAAACCTGAGTATGATTGTGCTTTATTCATGTATTTATTACAAAGTATTAATCAAACCCATCAAAGTCATCATCCTCTGTTATCCTCAGCATTCCTCTGAATAAAACAGCTGCGCTAAATCAGACATGCCAGTTTCCCCTTCTTCGCTGTCAGAGTCACTTTCCGTGCAGCGCAGCTCCTCAGAAATAATGCCGGCTTTTGCGAAAGCTTGAACAACAGAGCCAGCAGACACAGTCCATCTACAATCCATCCGCAAACGGTGGCGTAATCTGCACGGCGCTGCCTTCCATTTATCATGAAACTGTGGTCTCAGTCTGTCATCCATCGCTCCCACGCCGCTCGCAGCCTTACTGTGAACGGCCGCTCCACACCGATGTCAAGCGGTTGAAGTTCCTTTGTCAGACCCCCGGGATAACGGCGAGCACAGCGTTCATTTGATTAATCTTTTTTTCACATCGGCTGTGAAATGGGCACGCAGCGATGGTGATGCGTGGAAAAAAGCACCTGGTCTCCTCACATACACCTGCCTTTCATCATCTCCTCATTCATCCAGCCTTTTTCATTTGCGTTAATATCATATGTCATCAGAGCGCTGTCTGTCTCGCTGTCAGCTCCCAGATCAGCTTCTCTGATTGGTTGATGCGGCGCGTCCAGCAGCAAAACTTCAATTTTTCCATCTGAGCAGCAGCAGCGCGTTGGCGGTGCGTCAGATGCTTAAACGCTCCCGACGTGCTGCACCAAAACGCGCTGCAGGACCTTTTGCTGCACCTATACGCTCGTCAACCATTGATTTTGCATGTAAACTCGCTGCTTCTGCTGCACCTGCTGGGTCCGGTTCACACCGATGTCGAGCGGTTGAACAGCGAGCACAGCGTTAATTTGTTTCCTCATGTTTTTCACATCAGCTGTGAGATGGGCACGCATGGAGTTACATATTAACAGCGATGGTGAGGGGTGGAAAAAAAAACACCTGGTCTCCTTACATTCAGCCACTCTTTCATCATCTCCTCAATGAGGTGGTCTCAAAAGTCGCAGTTACAACACACATAGGGCGCACCGCACCATAGGGCGCACCGCACATTTTGAGGAAAAAAAAAGACGTTTAAGTGCGCCTTATAGTCGTGAAAATACGGTAATAAAATAAATATTTATTTTTGTTTTTTTTCTGAAAACAGCTCTTGATATTTAAAGGTCTTAAGCGGTTCTAAATTCATTTTTGTAATTATTTAATTTTGAATTCTAAGCCTCTGGGCCCATCCAAGGAGATGCAGCGCTCTGTCCTCTTTTGATTTTTTTCCTTTACAGATTATAAAACAAAAGCTTTCACCTAAAACAAATAAAATATTTGCATCGGCAAATAAAAATCTGGATTGGTGCATTTCTCTTTATTCTCCTCATGAAATCCTAAACTTAAGCAGAAATGTAGAGCAAAAACCTGATAACCTGTTAAAACTTTTCAATTAAACATGTGTATTATATAGATTGTGTTTTTGATGTTTTGCTCTGTGTTGAGCTACCTGCTTTTAGCGACCGATTCGGCATTACAGTAATAAGTAGATGAGTGTCTGTTCTTTTCACTGCTGGAAATATTCATTAACAGTCCAGTTATCTTTGTTTTATGCATAGAAAATTGTCTCCTTGATAAGGAAATGCTGACAAACAAAGCAATCTCTAATACATCTAATGTGCTGTTTATCTACCATCCCCACAGGAAGGGCCGATGATTCATTCTGGCGCTGTGGTAGCAGCTGGGGTCTCGCAGGGCAGGAGCACTTCCCTGAAAAGAGACTTTAAGGTCAGTATCTATGGGTTTTTGCACTGAATGCATGTCAGAGAAGTACTCTATTAAAACCAAAGGGCACAAACTTCAACTTTTCAGTTTACTTACTGTGATAAAGATGGCGGGAATTTCTCTGTGCTTGTAGATATTTGAATATTTCCGGAGAGACACGGAAAAAAGGGACTTTGTTTCTGCTGGAGCTGCAGCTGGAGTTTCTGCTGCGTTTGGAGCTCCAGTTGGTAAACACTACGCCTCCAACACACACACACACCCAATACCTCTAAGAGCACAGTATAGAACATGTTTTCTAAATCTGTTTTTTTCCTTGTTTGCTTTTTTATTAGAGGGGCTTTATATGGAGATAAACTGGTGCCATAAAGCTTGTTCAAAAGAAAAAAATATAAAGCTGCATAAAAGTTTTTGCGACAGAAAAAAACGGCTGTGAAACTCAGAAAAATTATAGTTCAACATTCAGATTATTTTTTCCACATTTGTGGATTTCTTTTCAAGCTTGCAGATTTATTTATTTTTTTCATCTTCAAACCTTTAGCCCAGTTTACATCTTGGGGGCGGGGCTTCAGAGGACCGTGGGTGTGGAATCATGACTGACAGCTTGCTATCAGTCATGATTGCTTGCTTATTGCATTCAGGGACCGTATGAACTGTACATTTCTTTAAAACATCATCGATATGCTTTGTGTATGGGATGTGATGTTTTAAATAAATTTCTAGTTCCCACGGTCCCTGAATGTAACAGCTGGAAATCTGTTGTTCAGCTGTCATCTGAGGGCCTGCCCCCATTCAAAATGGCCATAAGTTTGAAGCTTAAAGAAACATTTGTAAATCCGTATTTTTATTTGCTAAACTTTTTTCCTGTTTTCTTCTTTTTGAACAAACTTATTTTTCCGTTTCAAACTTTATGGCCCCAGTTTTAGCATAAATCATAGCTTTAGAATCCTGGCCTAGCTGAAGTAAAAATAACTGCGTACTTAGAAATGTGGATCGGAAAGCGGTTTGTAGCAGATGTTTTATGTCATGCCTGGTGTTGTTTGCTAATTCTGCCAGCAGGGGGCCTCTAGTCCAATCAGATTAGGGGCTCATCTGCAAAGCATTCAGTTCCTTTTCATGCGTTTTAATTTTATTCTGGTTTTGCTGTTTTTCAACTTAATCAAATCTCCCTAATGGATGTTTTTACTCAAATAAAAACAGCTTTTTGCTTCTCTTTTACTCTTAGCTGTGTCTTATTTTCTCTTTCCCTCTCTGTCCTTGCATGTTAATTTCTTCCTAGATTCCTTTTCATCCTTTTGTGCTACCTCCCTTTCCTCATGTCCTTTCTTTTCTACCTCTCTCGTCTCCATCTTTTTACTTTTTTCTTCCTTTACATCACTCACTACTCACACTCATGTCTTTTCTCCTCGTTTTATTGTTCCCTCCTGCCTCCTTTGTTAACTTTTTCTTTTATTTTTTTCTGCACTTCCATTCTGTTACTGCATAATTCTCTCTGTCTTTTATATCTGTGTCCGATTTTAGAAGTGCTATATATATACTTATATATATACTTTTTAATATAGCAGCATCCTCATTTTTCAAACAAAACTCTTCAGAAAGTCTGCATTCTGAAACCTTTGCCTGCTTCTAAAAGTTTATATACTACCTTAGTTATTATTTAAAAGGTGAAATTAATTCATGTCTTCAAGGTTGACAGAGAGAGATCTCCAATATTCATACAGAATCAATCATATATAGAAAAGCCTTAAAATCATTGCATGCCGTTATCATGGGTGAAATCATCTTTATAAGATGTTCTTGTCACTTGGTAAACTGTTAAATATTGGAACACGATGCATCTAATCCAGACTGGTATCGTTTCAGACTGCTTGTTTATTTTCCAGCTGTTATTTCAATGATTTCTCTGCTGGTCTCCATCAGGCGGGGTACTGTTCTCTCTCGAGGAAGGAGCCTCTTTCTGGAATCAGATGTTAACCTGGAGGATTGTAAGTGACGGGATCACTAGTGTTTGTGACCATTACTTGTGAAAGTTAACAACACATGTATTGTTCTGATTCATACAGAATCAGGCTTCCTCATGCCTCGTTTGGTAACTTTTTGACCTTTTATCTGCAGTTTTTTGCTTCCATGATCTCCACTTTCACGCTGAACTTCTTCCTCAGTGTATATCACAATAAAACAGGAGATCTTTCCAATCCGGGTCTCATCAATTTTGGAAGCTTTGAGAGTGAGGTGAGAAACGTAATGTATACAGTATGTTTATTTACTTTACAAATATGTGACTGTAAAACATGACATTTAATCGCTGTCTTTCTACAGGCGATGGGATATAACCTCTATGAGATTCCTTTGTTTATGGCCATGGGAGCTTTAGGTAAGAATCAAGTTACATCATATTATATTAAGTCGGTGTTTGGAAGACGAGTCATTTTAAACAAAGTCCCCCAACAAAGTCCAGCCCCTCACCTAGCAAAGATTTGACACATATGAGCTAGAGTTTAGACTAACGATTATTTTGTTAATTGATTAATCTGTTGATTTTTGTTACAATGAATCGATTAATAATCGATTCATTGCTTTTTAAGATTTAAACAAGGTGAAACTAAATCTTTTTCACTGGAAGTTCTGGAAGGTGAATATTGACGGATAACATTTTTTTTTTATCTTGTAGGCAAAACCTTTATGTATACTTTTTAAAATTTTTGGCATAATTCCTGCTCTAAGTGGGTTTCCCAGTCAGCTAAAGGCGTGTTTTAAAGTCTCCATACTCCAGTTAACAATTAATCGATTACTAAATTAGTTGAATATTATTTCAATCTGATTCCATCTAATTTGATTGTGTCACACCTAAGATGAACCTTTCGTTACATTTTACATTAAATGTCTAATTTTTATTGGAATAAAATACATGCACAACTTAACAATGGCATTTAAAATATGCCTAAAAATTTAAATTTTCCCTCACACCAAGCTACAGCTGAAAAAACACAGACAACTAACAGCGTGATGCTAATTTGCATTTAAAATCCCATAGGGATGCTAGTGCTTTTAGCGCTTCTTTTTTCTCTGATTCCTCCAAAACTGAAACGACCATTAGGTTTCCTAGAAGTATCTTAACACTTTGTAAAAACCTGAAGGATTTTTCTAAGATAAAACAGAACGTTTGAGCAAGCAAAAAAGTGCGTTTTAACATGGATCATTTTCTAAAGTAGCCGTGGTTGAACATGATTTGCCAACTATTAATGAAGATTTGAACCAGGGTCAAATAAAGTGGCTTTGCACCATATTGCATCTGTTTGCAGCAATGTTGACTCAAATCTCATTATATGAGAGTAACTTTCAAAAAACTGAATTTAACATGTTCTGTAAAGCCCATAGACCTTTGCTAAATGTTTGAAATGGAGCAAAATAGGTCCCGTTTAAATGAGTTTTGGACATCAGAGTTCTCCTGTCATGCAGGTCAGTCTGTTTTCCACTCTGATTAAACTTTTGACTTGGTTTTGGATCAAAAGTTGATTATAGACTTTAAATGACTTAGCCTTGAAACTGGATCTTAAATGAACATAAAGAAAGAAAGTGAGTTCTGGTGTTTGGTTATTGATTCCAATCACCAGCCAATTTTTTTGTACAAATTTGATAGAAATATGATTCTTTCTTCTTATTTTTTTTTTTTTGCATTAGCCAAACATGAATTAAACACTTGTTAAAGTAAGCAGGTGCTTTGAAAGCTTAGAAAGTAAATTTTTCTCAGTGAGTAAAGGAAATGCATAGTGCAGCAGAGAGGTCAAAGTGTAATTATGTGGGATTTAATTAATGTAAAGTAATATTGATTTTTAGGATGACTAAACTGCAAATGTTTTTTACTCCTTTGTTGTTCAGGTGGACTTCTAGGAGCTTTGTTTAATTTTCTCAACTACTGGCTGACCATCTTCAGGATCAGGTAAAGCTTAACAAACAACCAAAGACGGATTAGAAACTAAGATCCCATCCAACGTTCAGGTTATAAATACGAAGCTGCTTTGTGTCTGTCACATGGGATGACATGTGCCTTCTGTCGATTCATTTCCAAAACAGGGCGTGGGGGAAAGGCGGAGAAGTTTTGAATAGAGGACTTAAAGAGTGGCTCAGAATAGCACATCTTGTGACTGAAAGGAGTCAGAAATCACTGTGACCTATTTCCACTGAGACTCTTTCCCAGCATGAAGCTGGATGATGGAAAAATAGTTCAGCAAGCTGATTAAATATTCTAGAAGAATGTTGGATTTATTAGTTTACAATCCTTTAGACCTTTATTTAAGCAGATTATATAATCTAATTAAAAGTGCAGCATTCTTTTTTGGGTTTGATGAAGATATATGGAATATATAAACAGTTCTCTTTTATCTAATCTGACTCGGTCTCTATTATAGATTCAAACAGTAAGTTTTGTGTGAAACTTTATGCAGTTTTCAGCAGACATAACGTCCCTTTCAAAACATTCTCCCATCTATGTGTACATTTAGATAAAAAGATCATTAGGATCATTGAAACATTTTATGACTTTTTTTAATCCGCATTAAAGCCGCACAGTATATAATAGAACTCATCGTTTTTTTAAAGCAACACTGCATAAAGTTTGACCCAAATGTTTGCTTGATTTGAGCTATATCAGATTATTATAATTATTTTTGTTTTTTAGGTTTTATTCAGCACTTGGCCTGTATTGATGTCCCATGCAGGTTCTTGAAAAACTCACCTTTATGACTTTAGATGGTCAGATCCTCATGTGACCTAAAGTGCTGCTTTATGGTAGTCTATAGACTACCATAAAGCCATCAAACACCCCTGGTTACACAGTGTTGCTGCAAAACAAGCAGCTTCTTGTTTAGAGGGAAATAATTGGTTTTAGTTTTTATTTAGAAGTACCTAAAAAAACTCTAATTCCTAACTCTCCTTTAAAATGAAGTCTTGTCCTCCACACCTATAGAATATATTTCCTTTAATAATAAATAAACTAATGAAGCAGTGAAACTTAAATTGATGAACTACATTCAGAAGATCTATGAGGGTTTTCTATGTATGCAGAGGATTAAATTTAAAGAGGGCAGAAAATCTATTGATTTTAGTATTTCTCCAATAATCTGAACCAAAGTGGAGCTTAAAATAAATGAGAAAGTGGGTCAAATTTTATTGTTCAACTGTGATCCTGGAAGAATATAAATTTATGTTTCCCAATTATTATTAAATATAGTGTTTGAAGAATTGTGATCAGTCCCAGAACTTAAAACTCACCCGTTAAAGCAGGAGCTCACTACATAATCTTATTGGTTCCTGTGACAGCATAGATCTTCCACTACTAAACTTAATCTTTATTTCTATAACTTACAGTGGGAATTCGAATAAAAAATGTTTTTTTTTGTTGTTTTATTAACCACCAGCTTCTAGACTTTTAACTCCAGGGTTTTTATTTTCATGACTTTAAATCCTCGCTTGTCCACTGTCCATCGTCGAAGGTCTTTGTTTTTAAACACTTGATTTTTGTGTATAGAAAGGCCTCACTTCTAGTGTCAAGCTTGTATCTGCATGCTAGCTGTTACTCTTTCTTCCCTGCTATGTGGAAACAAACTCACTTTAGGTGTATTATCGCCACCGAATCTATTGTATTTATTTAAAAAAATGTAATCAATAGCCCAGTAATGATGTACAGTATCATTTTTCAGTCAAGCACTGAATAAATCTATATATAGGTTATAAGTTATCTTTGTTTTGCCTTCCTGCTGTAATGAGTAATTTATTCCTATTTTTTTTTTACCTGACTGGGTTGACTTGTTTCTAAAAATACCCTCTGCTCACTAACACAATGACTGACTGTAAGGAAGTGAGTTTTTAAATTCCATAATCTCAGAAATGGATGCTCTGACAGATCTCTTGAAGTGTTAACATGCCTGCCCTGGGGAAAATCCAGAACATTCCTGAACTGGTCTAACCCCATTCCCTTCTGCATCTATGTTAGATACGTGCACCGGCCATGTTTGCAAGTGATGGAGGCCGTGCTGGTGGCTGCAGTGACGGCGGCGGTGGCTTTCATCATGATCTACTTCTCCGTCGACTGTCAGCCTCTGGCCCCGGATCACACTGAGGAATACCCACTGCAGGTACAACCTACCAGCCATGGGAGCAGCTGGTGACGAAAGAGAAACTAAGCCAAAAAGCTTGCCTCAAAAGAGAATCATTTCCAGAATATTTCTTCATAACTCAGCACATGTGGATTCAGATCAGATGAGCTCCTGTAATAGTGAATCTTTGATTTCTCCTTTTTTTTTTTCCCCCCACCACAATTTTACTTTCATTTCTTTTAGTTTTGTTGCTAACAGCATCACAGGAATAGAGCTGGTGAAGTTGCCAAATGATAAAGGGTTTTATTTCCTCTCATCTCTGCTACGGCCATTTGTATTTATAACCTGCATGTTTTTTTTCCAGCTGTTCTGTGCAGATGGAGAGTATAACTCCATGGCCACGGCCTTCTTCAACACTCCTGAGCGAAGTGTGCGTAGTCTCTTCCACAATCCGCGAGGTAAAACCTGCTTGGGCCTTCAGTGCTGTACCCTCCTAATGCTGCAGCCATCAGGGAGCTTCAGTCTGGTTCCCAGTCCTTTAAACAAGCTCCCGTTGAGGCCGTTTCAAACATGCTAATAGCTAACCTACTCGTTGTAGTCTGGCTACCTCTCAGTCTGATTACGTTTCATGTAATTAAGCTGCATCCCAGTATTACACTGCGCCTTACAAAAAATATTAATGCTGCTCAAACTTATCATTTTATGTTAAAATCAAATTAGTGTAGTTTGTTCTACTAAATTTGAAGAAGCCTTTTGAAGCCTCTGAAAAGAATCTCTTGGTGCTACTTGGTGCTTATCTGACTGATTGATTTAATACAAAGTTTTCCTAAATTTTCTTTTTTTTATTCTTTTACTTTTCAGATAAAAAAAAAAATCATACACTCAAGCTGAAAAGTGGCATCTATCTACTTTCTAGAGTTTTAGTTTTTAGATACCTGGAGCTTTAACTGGGTCTCATTGAGATCAGACTTAATTTTCTATTCAGAAGCCTTCACTGCAGGCACTCGGGTCTAATTGATCAAAGATTGCATTGGATCTCAACTTAAAGTGTGGGTGGGCCCAAAAGCCCCAAAATGTATTTCAAATGTATCAAATAATGGTTTTGTACAAAAACAAATCTTGGAGACAAGATGGAAACATCTTCAGTCCTAATTTTCTCAGCAGAGCAGGATCCATCGCACACCACTGCACACAGATGGCACAGCTGTATTTAACCGTTTACAGCAATCAATGTCTATGATTTTTGGATTAGAGCTGCAACTACCGATTGTCTCACTAATCTATTAATCTGTCGATACTTTATTTTGATTAATAATCGGATAGCGAAAGGTTCCTTAAAATTTTTTTTTTCTTTTGCAGTATTAAACCAGGTGAAACTAAGGCGATGGTCACACAGCAGTCTGAACATCATAGATCTTTTTTTTTTTTCCAATGCAACCCAGGCCACTTGGCTATGTGGTCCTGAATCTGATACGAATCTGATCTTTTCAAATGCGACCTGTGTCTGAACGGCCGGATCGCATTTATCCGACCTGAACGTCATTAATATTCAGCAAAGGTCACTATCATCTTGCTGAGCAGAAGCGGTATGAAAAACAAATAACCATGGCAGGCAGTGATGCAAAGATAAATTTTTTTAGTTTGGGAAAGATCGCTGAATGCGCTCCAGCGCTATCATCTATGTATACCTGCGTAAGCCCAGAGCAAACTTGCTTGTGACGACATTTCGTCCTCTACTGCGCATGTGAGACACTTGCGTCGATGAATGCAGTTCACTCAGGAGAACACATACAAGTCGCATATATTTGGAAATGTGAACGGCCACACAGAAAAATGGGATTTTACAAAATTCGTACTAGAGCATTAAGACCTGCAGGGTGAAAGTAGCCAAAGACTTTTCCACTTGAGGAGTTCTGGACAGGAGCATATTGACAGACGAAAGTGTTTTGTCTTAAATGCAATATGTTTATTTATATGTTTATTATTATATATTTTTTTAAAATAATTTTAGTATAATTACTGCTGTGACTTGGTTGCTGTTATAGCTAAGCACAGTTTAGAATCTCTATACTCCAGTTATTGATTAATCTATTACTAAATTAGTTTATGTTTATTTCAATAATCGATTAATCTGATTGTTTCCACCCTAATTGGAAGCTTATTGGGGTGTTGCTCTGTTTTTTTTATAAAGTAAAACTGAACGCCTGAGAGGAATTCATCTGGCTTCACTTCTTCTCCCCGTCCGTCTCTAGTTTTCTCCTTTCCTCTTTAGTTTCTCTACACATGGGTAAAATGTAGCGTTTCCACTCCCAGATTTTTATAATCAAAGGTAAAAACCCTTACTTGGAAGTGGGGTGCAGAAGTTTCCGGCCGTATTTTGTGCGTACTCCAGCTTGATAGCTAAGACCTCAGATGTTATTGCAGTCACTAATAGGCTTTATTACATGTATTCACATGTTTTTAGTTTAGCTGCAATGTATCCGCCTCTATTGAAGAAAAGCATTCTCGCAGCATGATGCTGCCACTGCCATGTTTTGCAGTTTGTTGATAGCATTTTCAAGGTGATGGTGGAGTGGTAGTTTAGTGCCGTACATAGCAGTGCTTCTGAACAATTCATGGCTACATGAAGATTTTTGCAAAGTGACTGTGACTTTTAATATGTTTATGTCTTCAATCAATACTTGTCCTGATCCTTCTGCTTGAGCTTTGGATTTCTGCAGCTCCTCCAGAGTCACAATGAGCCTCTTGGCTGCTTCTCTGATTTATCCTCTCCTCGCTTGTCGAGTCATTCTACAGTTTCCAGTCCTTCCACTCCTCTTTCATTTCAATGTGATGGATTGAACAGTGCTCTGAGACACATGATCATTGGTTAAGGGCCGAATATAAATGTAAAACCTGGTAAATAAAACTTACCCCCACTATTATTTGCTGCTTTCTGTTAAAAATGGGAAAGATAAACTGTTAGTTATGTTTTTAATGTGACAAAGAGCCTGGATCTAGATTAGCAAGCCTTCAATTCGACCCATTATTTTAATGTTTATTTCTATTAGGTTGGTCTGATTGGTAGATTTATCTCCCTTGGATAGGATTAGGGTTGCATTAATATAATTTAGAATCTTTAATATTTTTATTTAGTTTCTTAGAAGCATTTTTTTTCCTTATCTGTGTTAACTTAAATGATTTTGTGACGTATGTTGGATGTAAAAGATTCACCACAAGCACAGTATTTACCTTCTAAATAGTACAAAACAACAACATGCAGGTGAAAAGAACTAGATGCTAATAAAGCTTTACAGTTCCTCTCAAACTGTCTGATGACTTTTTGTTTTTTAGGAACCTACAACGCCCTGACTCTGGGTTTGTTCACACTGACCTACTTCTTCCTGGCGTGTTGGACCTACGGCCTGTCGGTGTCTGCTGGAGTGTTTATCCCGTCGCTCCTGATAGGAGCCGCCTGGGGGAGGCTGTGTGGAATATTGCTGGCCTCTACTACCTCTACTGCCTCAGTTAGTTTTTCATCACCATTCCCCTTTGATTTTTAAAGCACCAGACTTTAAAAAATTTAAGAAACTATTGTTAAATAGAATAACTGTTGCCATTTTTGTTCAGTTATTTCTTAGAATAAATATGTAGCCAGTTTTGAAATAGAATATTTCTATTTAAGAGCTTTTCCTTACACATCTTTATCATTATCAGTTGAAAGTCTGACTCGCATGTTTGTGTCCAAACAGACGTGGGCCGACCCTGGTAAATATGCCCTGATAGGAGCTGCTGCTCAGTTAGGTGAGAGACTGGAGCTTTGCAGTGCTTTTTTTCCTTCTGTTGCTTTTATGTGTGAAATAAGTGGTTTAATGGGATGACATGCAGTAACCAGCTAATGTCCACAGGGGGCATAGTGAGAATGACCCTCAGCTTGACGGTCATCATGATGGAGGCAACGGGCAACGTCACCTACGGCCTCCCCATCATGCTGGTACTCATGACAGCCAAGATAGTAGGAGACTACTTCCAAGAAGTAAGGAGCACCTTTGACTACAGAATAGTTTCCTAACTTCATAGTTGGGATCAGGGTGGGGGGGGTGTTGTTATTAAGGTAGAGACACTAAAGCTAAAGAGTAAAACAGGGTTCCCGCGGGTCCTTAAAAAGTCTTAAAATGCATTTAATTCTTCAAAATAAAACTAAGGCCTTAATTGGTATTAAAATGCCTTAAATTAGTCTTTTGTAGGTCTTATTTTTAAAACATCATAAATATGATTATTTTTATTATGATTTATTTTTGTAATCTAAATAAAACGTTAAAATTGACCTTTTTTTTTATTAAAAAAAAAAAAAAAACGGCTTGCCATTATTGGTTCCGTCCCAATAGTGGAACCAATAAAAGTGTTGTTGCGGCCGGGACATTTGGGAGATGCACCATTAACTTTTTGTCTGGAAAATATGAGCAAGTGTAAATGTAACCAAAATTGGCTCCAGCCAAGAGTTTTCTCCATGGCTAAAACCAGGGAACATACATGAGGCACAGTGGATTTTGTGCAAGAAGTCATTCAAGGTTGGAACAATGGGAATTAAGGCAGTGGAGTCGCACGTGCGAAGCAGGAAACACAAAGCGTCAAAATCGAGTTACCGATCAAACATACTAAGAAAACAATACAAAGAAAAATAGCTGCAAAAAAGACTTAGCACTGGTTATGTTGTGGCTTTAAAACTGATTTGTTTTGTTCCCTGCTAAAACAAAGTTTGTGAATTAAGTTAAATAATTGTTAAAAGATATCTGTCATTTGTGTGCTTTTAGCTTTCTTCCTGTATGGGAAGCTTTTCAAAATTTAAAACATTAGTGCAGTGGTTTATTTTAAAATAAACCTTTGGGTTAAGTTGTCGCAAGCAGGTTTTTCTTGTGTTTCTTGTGAGTTTTGTCTTAAATTTTTATTTCAAGTGGCATTGAAAAGTCTTAAAAAGTCTTGAATTTAGCTTGCCTTATGCTGTAGGAGGCCTGTAAAAGTTTCAGGGTCTGTTTTATATTTTAGGCAAAAAAGCTAAATTTTTATCCTTCCACTGCTTCGATATAAAGGTAATCGGTAGGATGGAGGGATTATCATTAAGGTAGAAATTAATTGAAGAAATTATCCATATTGATGGTATTTAAAAAAAAAAGATGTATCGATGTCTGAGAAAAGTAGATTAAACTGTTCAACTTAGAAGAATTTTTCTTGAAAGATATGATTTTTCAATTAGATTTTAATTTATTTAATTGCATGATGTTATTAACTGCAGTTGACTTTTGTTTGTTCAACTGTTGAAAGATGTTGGGAGGGGCAGCAAGGAAAGTTGGGGAACCACTGCTAGTTAGAGGTTGAATTCCCATGGAATAATACTGCCTCCCCCATGCTTATGCTTTTATTGTTTTTTTATTATTATTATTTTCATATAGAAATATTTTAAAGCCTTCACATTTTTCTCTCTTGAAGGAAACATTTCTGAGTCATACTTTGTGGTTATGAACCCATAACAGTCTTTAATCTTGACGTTTCCTCATCATTGTATCCTCCCCACGCCTTGTCTGAAGTATTTATGTAATTTCCGGTTGGATCTTTATTAAGTATTTCTGCAATGCAGATAAATAGCCTACATCAGTAATTTTGCACATATGTAAATATAAGCATAACACACTTTTGCAGAAGAGCCTAATGAATTGGCTGTTTTAATAGATTCTGTTGTTAATTCAAGCCTAATTAAAACCCTCTGTGTGTTTTAGGGTTTATACGACATCCACATCAAGCTGCAGAGCGTCCCCTTCCTGCACTGGGAGGCTCCTGCTACCTCCCACTGGCTCACGGCCAGGTATGTCCTGTCTGACTCGTTGAAGGCTTGCTAACGCATTCTCTTTGGTTATCTGTTACACATCAAAACATGCCAGATTATTTAAATCATCTCAAAGTTCTTGCGATAGTACTTCTACTACTTTTTGGGGGAAATGTTCCATGTTTTGTCATGTTATAAACTCACCCTTTGCAACTTTATTCATAAAAGTTTCTAATCCTACTGAGGAAAAGAATCCCCACAGCATTATAGTGCCATTATCGTGTTTTAGAGGCAGTGGTGTGTGTAGAGTTATATGCTTTATTAGCTTTAGGGCAGCGGAGGAATCTGCATGTTGGCAAAGAAGTTAAAAAGCAAAATATTATGCGGATACCTTTTTTTTTTTTTTTTTTTGAATAACAATGTGTGGTTTTAAAGCAACGAAATGTGGAAAAGTTTCCAAATGTATGAATACCTTTGCAGTATTCCTGTTGACCATTGTTTTTGAGGCAGTGTTGCTCTGCTCTGCTGATTGGCCGGTTTCTTTTTGTCCCCCCGCCTTCACAAACCAGGGAGGTGATGAGTTCTCCGGTCATCTGCCTGAACAGAATCGAGAAGGTTGGAACAATCGTCGACATCCTCAGCAACACCTCAACCAATCACAACGGCTTCCCTGTCGTCGTGCAGGTTTCTGTCGATGATGAGGTATTGTTTGGCTGCATGGTTGGAATTATATAGTTAATTAATTTCTAAATTACTGCTTTGGAGGATTTTTTCCCCTCCAAATGTAACAGAAGCAGCTTCTTGTTAAATCATCTCTCAACTCTTTGTGTCTTTCCGTCTCCAAGCCTGCTAAACTCTGCGGCCTAATACTCCGCTCTCAGCTCATCGTCCTCCTCAAGCACAAGGTAAAGTCCTCCTATGGCTGTGCATGATCACACCGGAGGCAGAGAATCTCGTTAAGTTTCTTTTCCTTGTTCTCTCCCCGTCAGGTGTTTGTGGAGCTGGCTCGGTCCCGGCTCACTCAAAGGAAGCTCCAGCTGAAAGATTTCAGGGACGCCTACCCGCGGTTCCCTCCCATCCAGAGCATCCACGTGTCTCAGGATGAGAGGGAGTGCATGATGGACCTCACCGAGTTCATGAACCCAACTCCCTACACTGTACCGCTGGTAAGGAACACATCATCCGATTTTATCTGTGGAGTGGAAGAAATCCAAGCTGAACACCTTTGATTTGCAGGAGACGTCTCTTCCTCGTGTGTTTAAGCTGTTCAGAGCACTCGGACTCAGGCATCTGGTGGTAGTTGATGATGAGAACAGGGTAAGTTAATTTTTGATGCCAAACTCTGTAGTTTACTGGGGTTTTAGAGCAACACAAAGTGGGGCATAGATATGGAATGGAGGAAAATATCCATCGATTTGCACAATCACCTGTTGGTGACTTTTCAGCTTCAAATCTTCTAGAGCAGAGGTCATGGATTAGCGGACCACAAGCCAGATACGGACCCACCTGCTGGCTAATACGGATCCAACCTGATTTAAAACATTTATAAATTTCCGCATGTTGTCTAACTACACTTGCGCCGCTTGTTCTGTTAATATGGTAAAGCCTTCCGGAGCGTCCGGGACCAGGCTGCACGTACATACATACAAATTAGCCAATGAGCTGTCTGTCTGGGTCGCTGCGGCGAGCCAATTTTAGACACAGCAGACAAACCTTTGGTAACTCGGGTGATGGGTAAGAAGGAGAATACGATGAGAAAAGGAGAGTACAGATAGTGTGGACTGCTGGAAGAGGCACCGTGAACTGGTGAAAGAAAAGTGAAATGTTGTGCTCAAAGATGACACTGCACATTCTGCGTATGTTTTGCCCAACCTGCTGCTGTGAAGCATCATTCTCCACCATGAACAGAATCAAAAATAAATATGGATCCAGGCTCAAAATGAGCACCTTGATATGTGCTTGAGAATGGTTTTGTTGCCATTCAAACTCAGTTTTAAAAACCTTGCAGGGCAGCCTAAAGCCCACTGCTCTCATTAAGCCATAAAAAAAAAAAAAAGTCAGTTCAGGTGTTTTATAAAATATGTGAATCAGGAAATTGTCTATATACCAAACTGAACAATTGTTGTTCTCTACTTCAAAAACAGTTTAGATTTTAAAATTAAAAAATAATTATAATTATTTTATTACTATTTCTTCTTTTTCATATTTTTTTATCTAAAAAGTCAAAAACATGGATGCATAAAAACCTAAATTATTTCATTGTTAAATTCAGTTTGAAATAACAGATTATAATTAAAAATATCTCCGCAACCTTTACTGGTTGCTGATTTTCTTTATTCGGACCCCACTGACTTTTTAATTGGTTACTCTTGTTCTACAGTGTGTCTCTACAGACTGAATCTATTGCTAATTATTAATAAAAAAGTTCAGATTTAGTCAGCTTTAGGTCTGGGCTGTGATCGGGCCATTTTAACACACAAATGCTTTAACACAAAGAAGGGCTGGAGAATTAATTGTCTTTGCAGTATAATCCCACAAAAAAAAAAAAAAAAAAAAAAAAGATATCAAAGAGGCACTTTATTTTGACCTTGGTAAGGTCAACCAGAAAAAGACAATTTACTCACATCCACGCTTTAGGTGACTGTAATGCACCTAATTTGGGATTGCCTTTACACAGAAAGGAAGAAAGAGTTGCAGGCAGTGAGCAAATCCACGCATGCATGCTAGAATTAAGCACTTTTCCACAAAGCAGTGATATCCTTGAACAATGAAGTCTGAACAACAGAGCAATTAAAGCCATGAAAACAATGAAACCCTTGAGCATAACATGTATTCACTTGTGGTTAATGCAGAGGAATATAGTGATAAAATTGCAGCTTTGGTTAAGAAAAAACAGCAGCTACAAAGACACGCACAGCCCTATTCCTACTCATTCATATTGTGTCTGGCTTTTGGTTTAGGTTTGTTGGAGTACTGAATCAATGAACCTCTGCTCCAGTACTTTACAGCCTCTAAATGTTTAGTCCATTATTGCACTGTTTTCTCTGCTCAAGCAGTATCTCTGTCCTACAGAAAGAACGTTCAGGGTTTGATATCTGCAAAGCCTAATCTGGGTCTCCTGTTACCTGACAATATATATGATCTGATTCCTTTTCATTTGGAGTAGGGCTGGCCGATACGCATTTAAAATCTTATTATGATAATGGGTAATATTGTCTTAATGATAAAAGTAAAATGTAATGCTCTGCAGTCTTTCTTAGGTAACTTTAAGGCTGTGACTGCTCACCACAGCCACTATGGCACCACAGTCAAAAATAATACTCCTGATGAATATACATGTTTAAGTTCATCAGGATACCAGTTATCTAAAGAAGTATGATGTATCATTTAACATCTTTTAGTAACCGTATTTGATCACATTCTTTACATTTCTCAATACCCCTTGGGGAAAAAATGTAAAAGAAAAACAGTAAAAATTTTGATAATTTCTGGAGGTTTGAATCCAGAAATAAAAAAAATCTAAATTCCTATCATGACTAGCAACTAATCCGAATGCCTACACCTAATAAAGAGTTCCCTCTTGTTCATTCAAAGAAATTCTGATTTGTGGATAGATTGTCCCACCTGAGCTGTTGATCTCTGCAGCTCCTCCAGGATAAGCATGTGCCTCCCTGGTTAATGCTCCTCTTGTTCTCTCTGATATCTCACTGTTCAGCTGTTTCTTTTTCCAGATGGATGTGGGTTATTAGAATTGGATTAAAGGGGACAACATGCATGTCCTGCTAATTAGATTCTTATTTCCAAAAAAAAAGAAGCATGTTTCCTTTTACTGCTATGAACAATTATCTGTCTCTTAAAGTCTGTCTTAATATGTCCAATAATTGTAAAAATGTAACCTTTTTAACACGACAGGTAAATGGACTGGTGACCAGGAAGGACTTAGCCAGGTACCACCTGGGAAAACACGGACTGGAGGAGCTTCATTTGGCTCAGACATAATACAGAGATATGCACACTGATGGACAATAACGCACGTGATGCCTCAGAGGCCACCAGCCTTACCCTCAAATCTGAGAGCTCCGTTTCTACGCCACGAACATCATGTGAAATGAGTGTAAAGGAAATTATGTCACTTTGTTATTAAACATTTTTTAGATTTACTGCTTTTGCTCAATTTTCCATTCTTTCTTTTATCATGCTGGGGAGATCTACGTAAATGAAATCTGATTAGCAGAATCATTTCAAGCCAAAGCGGCTTCCTGCACACTTTGATTTATATTCCCTTGAAATGCGAACTAAACAACCCAGGAACCAGGTTTAGTTTAGCTAAGGGGGGAAATTTCTCTGCATGTTTTTTTTTTTTTTTTTTATCGATCATCTAAAGATTGAAGGATAGCTTTTGCTGTTTGCTTTTTCTGTTGAAACATTCGATTTTCTTTTCTTTTTGAAATCATTTTTCAGGTGTTTTAAGTTCAAATAGTTGTAAAAGTAAGTTAATATTGTGTTATTGTTGGTTCGAAATGAGAGATGTTATTTATTCATGTCAAAGAGCTGTTTTAACTTAAAGACAATAGTGTGGGTTCATGCATAGTTTTTTTGTTTTTACCCCATTACTGCCTCTTTTTCTGTTTACCGTGCAAAAATACCCAATGGTAGGAACTTATTTTCTTTAATAAACCACATCTGAAGGTTTGCACTTTTTCCGACAGTCAGTCCGAAGATACGTGTCATGACGTTTAATGTGAATGTAAGTTTTGGATGAATATATGTTGGTCAGAAACCGGAACCGTTTGATTTGAATGTCAGTTTGTACATTTCCTTTGTCAACAGTGTTAAGTTTTTGTGCACTTTGCTGTTAAATCTCTTTGATTTTTTTTCTTTTATTTTCTTAGTTGTACAACATTAAACAGTTTACTGAGCTCTATTTTTAACCACTAGAAATGCCTTTTGTGAAATAATAAAGTTGGACATTATTAAAGTTCTTGTACATTTTATTGATGACAAACGGTAAGCATTGAAAAGTGAAGTTCAGAAAGTAATATTTATAAATTTATTACATGCAACGGCATGGATTTCAAGTGTTTATCACTAATTATTGATGAATACTCTTTAATGATTATTAAAAAAATAAATAAATGTAGTTTTATAGATAATGAAAATGTTCAATAAGAACACACAAAACTAGAATTTAATCTAGCATCTATGTTGATGCCTATGCACTTATTGGTAATGGAAAGTTTCCCAGCATTTTTTTTTCTGCTTTAAGAGTGCTGTGTTTAAGCAATGGAAAGTTTAAAGAAAAGGAAAAAAATGCAGTAAAAAGAGGTGCATAAGCAGCAGAGATTACTAATAAAGTTAAACAGCAAAAAACATTGTTATTTTTCATCAGGACCTGTCATTTAAATTCCATATCAAAGAGGTTTCTAGAATTTTCTTCTTTCATCCCTGGAATATTGCCAAAATAAGAACTATCCTGTCCAGGGGTGATGCTGGGAACTAGTCCATAAATTTGTTACTTCAAAAGTTCTGATGAAGATTAAAAAGTTAAATATTTTTCCCACCCTAGCTTCCGTTCACTAGCTTCCTGTAAAATCCAGAATAAAATGTAAAAACCAGCTTCTCACATGCAAGCCCTCAATAACGGAGCTCCAACTTATATCAGAGCTCTGATTGCACCTTATTTTCCTAACAGAACACTTTGCTCTCGATCTGCAGGATTACTAGTGGTTTCGAGAATTTCCAAGAATAAAATAGGAGGTAGATCTTCTAGTTATCCGTCTCCTCTCCTGTGGAACCAACTACCAGTTTAAGTCTGTGAGGCAGACACCCCGTCTATTTGTTAGGATAGGCTTAAAATTTTCATTTTTGGTAAAGCTTATAGTTAGAGGGGCTCAGGTTATCCTGAGCTATCTCTATAGTTGTGCTGCTGTAGGCATAGCCTGCTAGAGGACTTAGGAACCCCTTATCATCCTCCTTCATTCATTTGAATTCAGTTTATTTATATTGCACCAATTCACAACACATCATCTCAAGGCACTTTACAGAGAGACAATTCAACCAGACCATCCCTTTAGATTGGTTTATTATTTCCATCTAGGGAAAACCAGCAGATTGCATCCACTTATTGAGTCAGGCCGATGAGTTCCCAGCCAGCTACCATGTCAGAGGATGAAGAGAGCACATGCATACATGCGTAGTAAAAGAAACAGGACACTGAAAAACAGGCCAGGTTCCAACAAATGTATCCACAAAGGTGTTGATGGCAGCAGCACAGCTGATATCTCTCTGGGATGGTCTGGGATGGTGTCACAGACAAACAGGAACAGACCAGATGAAGCTACTATGACAAAAAAAGCAGACAGCACATAACGTTGGAGATTGAACTAACAAAAAGTGCTGAATTGGAGGAAAGAGGTACTGTAGAATGCAGCAGAATGTTGGTCCTATGTTCTCCAGCCTGTTCAGCTGTGACATCATCCTGGAGACAAAATTCAGCTGTGCTGCTGCCATTGACACCTTTGTTTATAGATGTTCGAGCTCTGCCTGTTTTTCAGTTTAGTCCTGTTTCTCTGACTGTGACTGGCTGGATGTGCTCTCTTCATCCTCTCACATGGGGGCTGGCTCGGAGCTCGTCTGCCTGGCTGTGGGCTTCCTGGATGCGGCCGCCTGAAAAACTGGTTGACATTTGCCTTTGTTATCTCTGCTTCTCTCTGTTTGTCTGCTGCTGCCTCCTTGAACCCCTGTTGGCCTCAGCTGATGGCCACTCATATCGAACCTGGTTCTGCCAAAGGTTTCTTCCTGTTAAAAGGGAGTTTTCCTCTCCACTGTCGCTACAAACGTGCTTTGTGTGAGGGATTGTAGAAGAGTCAATGATTCGATGCAATCAGCTGGTTTTCCATAGATAGAATATTTTGAACTAATCTCACTGTATGATCTGGTTCAATTGTCCTTGTAAAGTGCATTGAGATGTTGGGAATTGGCACCATATAATTAAACTGAATTGAATTAAATCTAAAAAATATGCTTTAATAAATATTTTCAAATTTCAATATTAGTGCATGGCAGTGTTTGTAAGGGATGATAAATAATTTTTATGAACATTCACAATTAATTTATTTAATCCCCACCATACCAGCAGAGGGAGCACATGTACCAAACTAAATATACCTAACTTATATGGCGGAAATATCACCATTGAACATTTATGATTACATCATCTACTTGATTTTACAGAGATTAATTGGCGACACAAATACTTACAATTACAGGAATGATGTCTAAAAAGGAGATGTTTGAAGAGATTGTGTGATTATTTTGGTCACATGTCACTTTTTATACTTAATTTAAATACAAGGTGGTTTACTTAGACAGCCCAAATAAAAGTTAGTTAAAAGCATTAGATAAATAATGTCTTCTTAAAGCTACAGTGTGTAATTTTCAGCGTCATCTAACGTCCAGACTGCAGACCGCAGCAACATGAACATCTCCCCCCCACCCCCCAACAGTACGGCGAGCGTTACGGGACAAAATGTCTTCCACGACGTCCGCATCACCTACCTTCTCAAGTGATGAGGTTTGTTTACATAGATAATTTTACAGATAGTATTTCATTAGTCTGTGTAGGGTAGCCTATAGATTTTATGTAGACTTAAGATAATAAATATACCGTATATATAGACTTAGACTTAGACTTAGACTTCTTTATTTGTCATTTTGTATGCACAGGGTGCATACAGAACGAAATTGCGTTACATACAGCTTATGAACGTTGCATTGATATTTCACAATGGCACGAGTTATAGAAAAATACAAAAAGTGCAGCAGTGGTCAAAGTGTGAACAGTGCAGAGGATAAGAGACAGTGTGCAAGTTGCAGTGGTTCAGTGCAAAATGGCATTTGTGCAAAAAATGCGTTATTGAAAAATACAATGAGATGAACAATTTAAAGGGCTAAAAGTTAAAAGTTCAGCAGCATTTGATGCCCGATAATGTGCAATAGGTGCAGAGTTCGGATTGTGGATCAAAGGTTCAACAGTCTGATGGCAGTGGGGAAGAAGCTGTTGCACAACCTGGTGGATCTGCAGCGGATGCTGCGGAACCTCTTTCCAGAGGGCAGCAGGGAGAACAGTCCATGGTGGGGGGGTGAGGGGTCTTTGATGATATTACGGGCTCGGGACACACAGCGCTGTGATGAAATGTCCTTAATGGAGGGAAGAGGAGCCCCAATGATTCCTTCCGCTGTCCTCACCACCCTCCTCACATTCTTCCAGTCAGAAGCTCTGCAGCCTCCACACCACAGAGAGAGACAGCTGGTCAGAACGCTCTCTATGGTGCTTCTGTAGAAGGTTGTGAGGATGGGCGGGGGCAGGCGGGCTCTCCTCATCCTCCGCAGAAAGTACAAGCGCTTCTGTGCCCTCTTCACTAGAGATGAAGTGTTTACAGTCCAGGTGAGGTTGTCCGTGATGTGCACCCCCAGGAACTTTGTGCTGCTGACCACCTCCACAGCTGAGCTGTTGATGAGCAGTGGAGCATGGTGGGGGCGGTTTTTCCTGAAGTCGACGATGATCTCGCTATCTCGCTATATATAGCGTAACGGGCGATCTCGCTAGTTTGTTGGCTCTGCGCTGCCGTAGCGCAAAGATGTCTGCCTCCATGGCTGCGAGACCCGCTCCTATGTAATTATAAATAACGAATTCTAAGGCAACGCAAATATTAAGGTTAAGAGGCTGAGCTCGTAGATGATGATAAATAACATAGTTATGTACAATATATTACATTTCTGACTGTATATCCCTGTAATTATTACACACTGTAGCTTTAATAAATGCAGTAGTATAATATTTCATAGAAAATTTTGGAAAATTCAATGAATATTTAAAATGATAAATATAATATTCATATACAGTACAGACCAAAAGTTTGGACTCACCTTCTCATTCAAAGAGTTTTCTTTATTTTCATGACTATGGAAATTGAAGATTCACACTGAAGGCATCAAAACTATGACTTAACGCATGTGGATTTATATAATTAACAAAAAAGTGTGAAACAACTAAAAATATGTCTTGTATTCTAGGTTCTTCAAAGTAGTCACCTTTTGCTTGGATTACTGCTTTGCAGACTCTTGGCATTCTCTGGAGGAGCTCCAAGAAGTACAATTTTCATAGTCATGAAAATAAAGAA